TACTTTTTTTTGATCAACCGCTCCTTTGACCGACCACTAACTAGCTCATTTTTTTTTCTAGCGGAATAACGCGCTTCGACCACACCCTCGCATTATCTGAGGCAAATATATGACCCCCTCCCCCCACCATTTCAAGTTGGCCGCTATAGGAAACCAAGGCGTCGCTCCGCCTGATGGCGGATCTTTGTGCGCCCCCCACTAAGTAGGAACAACATCGAAATACTCAGATCTACGAATTCCAGCAGAGCACACGGCAGCAATGATGCCGAGTGTAATGGAATCATTAATTGCTGTACTACCAATTGAAGAAATTAGAAGAGAAAAGATCCCCTTTGTCACATTATTGATAAGGTCAGCTGACAATCGCGATGAACAGGAAAATTATGGCTCCAATTTTCTCTCGTTTAACTAAAACCGCTCGCTTCGGAGCTTTGGGATATGATCGCGTACGTCGACAGAGGTGTTCACTTTCAGAACCGACCTAACATTGGAAGCTACAATTGCACGATCAGGAGTCATGTTGGAGAATCCCACCCCGAAATTGTGGTGCTCGCTTCGAAGCTGAAACAGAAAATCGCTAGATATTCACAGCTGTGGGGTGTCACATCTCTGGAAAGACGTAGTACTCCTCTATATTCCTATTAAGCGGCGCTGTCAATACCTGCGGCATTTCCTGATTTAACGTTTCTGGTGCAAGTAGCGAGCAAAGTCATCCGAAACTGGGCAAATCTAAGCGAAAACAAAAAATGCTTTTCGTTGTGGTTGCACTTTGTCGTCCTCCTCGCTGGATGCCTATTGCTCGGCACACGTCAAAGCCGTGCCCAACGCGAGCTGCCACTAAAGTGACAGAAATATCGCAACCTGATTGGAGTAGCATCTAGGGTAGTGGAACGTGATTGGACAAGAGCTTCAATTCGATCTATAATGGGATCATCATGGAAGATAATCATGACACGTGGCGTGTACAATGTATGCAAGCGTTTCCGTTGCATCAAGCATTCCCATTGCATTTGTCTTGCTGTTCGTAAATACCGTTCCCGTGGCATGTGTATACATTTCCTAGTGTTACACAGGAGGGATAATAGGAGCAATTCAAATAGGAGGTAGAAAGCAGCTAGGCATATAACTCAATCAATCTCTCTATCAAATTTATATTCATCTACTCACATTGACTACACGCCTCGTTCGCAAAAATCGCAATTGGTTAGGAGCCCAATCTACGCGGTCAGCACCGTCAAGCTCGTGGAAGACATCTACTTTTACTGGGAGTAGAACATGCGGTTGAAGCTCGCCCGGAATGGTCTGCTTTCAATCAGAGTTTGACTAACCTCTCAATTACCAGGAAGCACATTGGGAATAATAAAAAATAGAAGTTTTATGTCAGCAGTTTGAAAATACAGCGCCCGCCAAATCATTAGGACCCCCGATTTGGCGGGACACGTTTGACGATATCTCGGCTTGTAGCCTGTGTTAGGGGCTGCTACTTTGATATGTTATCTCTATTAGACTTAGTAAGATGGCACTCGTGTTAGCAACTTAGATTTCAATGTGTCTGGCAGCGCTGGTATACAAATTCAGGATTTTGGCACCAGCGCCAAATTGTTAAGACCGCTACCTTTTTATAATAGAAAAACACTTTTATGAACAGACCATACAAACTTCTATTAAAGTTAGTACTTAGTCAGTCCACCTTTCTTCTGGATGACCGCTAAACAGCGGCGAGGCATCGACTCTACCAGCTTTAACAAGTACTCCAGCTGAATCGAGTCCCATGCAGCCATGATTGCTGCCTCCAGATCAGCAACGTTTTGGTACTGGCGGCCAGTGCGTCCACTTTGGCCGCCATCGCCGACCAAACGTTCTCGATGAGGTTGCAATCTGGCGAGCGAGCTGGCAATACCATGCTGTTGATTTGCTGGAATACAAAATCAACACCATAGTTCGAGTGAGCGAAAGGAAGTAGATTTTTTATATAGCGTTACCTGAATTCTGACGTCCTTGCAAGATACCCAGCTTACTCTTCCCTGCTGCGATTAAAGCGTCCCACACCATGACGCTCCTTCCTCCATTTTGGTGACGCAAATAAGACCGTGAAGGCTGGTGCATGTCCCGCCAGTAACATTTTAAACCGTCAGGGCCATTTAAATTAAACTTCTTTTCATCTGAAAAATAGTATAAATCCAAGCTTCTTAAGCAAAAAAGGAGGAAGATGTTAGAATACAATGTAACTGCAAAATAAAATATGACTAGCTTACCAGGCTTCAGTATGTACTCTTCCGCCCATTCCATGCAGCTGCCGAAGCCCTCGTTCCGTCAGCGCTGGTTGCCGCCCAGCCCTTCGCTGCGCACCGCTATATTCTTGTCCTTCTCCTCGCTCTGCCTTGACTGCGTTCCGGACGGACGTGCGAGACCGGTCTGTCTTTCTGGCGATCTCGCGTAGCAAACTCCTCCGTCGTAGAGACCGACGATGAACCAATGTTCTTGCCGGGTGAGGGCCTTGCCGTTGCCCATTCGAAAATGAAAGGCTCGTAGCCTCAGTAGTTCAGGTAACAGCTCGTTTCCGCCAACCATCTACTTGTTTTAACCATCACTCTTTTAATATAGGAGTTTGAAAGGTATGTTCATAAGAGTGTTTTTCTATCATAAAAAGGAGGTGGTCTTAATAATTTGACGCCGGTGCCAAAACCCTGAATTTGTAAACCAGCCAGACACATTGAAATCTAAGCTGTCAAACACAAGTGGCATCTTACTAAGCCTAATAGAGAGAGTATATCAAATTAGCAGCTCTTAACTCGGTCTTCAAGCCGAGATATTGTCAAAACTGTCCCCCCAAATCGGGGGTCTAAATGATTTGACGGGCGCTGTATTATTACGTGTTTTCTTGGATTTAAAAAGCTCTAAGAAAATCCACTATTCAAAACGATTTTCCGCCCTATTGCCTAAGAAAAATATGGTTGTCGGTGACTTGTTTCTACAAATGGTCCTAAAATGTAGGACATTTTTTGGGATGCAGACCGTTTCTCTAACTGCATTATCCCCCTTTGTCCCCCCCTTAGGAGATGAGTGGCACACCACCTTTGTTTAGCTCGCGTCTCTCGCGTTCTACCGGTTGCTGTACAAGCTATCCACCACATTGCCCACTGTATCAACGATTTTCTTTTACCCAAGATCATCGACGCTGCGGTTTATAACGATCTCCGAACTGTGGTCCGCGTCTACGGGAATGTTCGACCTTGGACCTTTAAAGCGATGGATGGGGCAGCGGCCCGAGGCCGTCTTGACGTTCTCCTATGGCTTCGTTCATTCCCGGCGCGATAGTTGCTCGACCGAAGCTTTTACTGGAGCTGCGGCTAACGGGCATCTGGACGTTCTCGTTTGGCTTTACCAGTTTTACCGTGATTTGGGTCATCCTGTCGATGAAATGGCTGTAGCTGCTGCGCATGGACAACTGCGAGTGGTGAAAGCGATACAGAGATGGGTGTCTTTTTTAGATTGTGATATGGCACTGAATTCTGCCGCAGCCAATGGTCACGTAGACGTGGTGGACTATTTTCTCACGAACGCATATCATGGAGTCCAGTTCAGTCTTGGGTGGTCTTAAAGGGACGCTTTTCTGTTAGCAGCGAGAAACGGACGCGTTAACGTCTTGAAATTTATACTGGAGAAGTACGTATACCATGTAGGCGAGGCCTTGATGATAGCTGCAGAAGATAACCAAGTAGAGACGGTCAAAGAGATATTGGACGCTGGACGCGGGACATGCGTAGCGCGTTTCGACGCCTATATCGGTGCTGCAGCCATTTCCATCGCCCCCTATCACCGACTGGAAATGGCTGCACTTCTAGCTAGTAGGTGTAGCGCGTTTATCATTGGAAGTGCGCTGGTGAAAGCTGTGGAAAGTCAACAACTAGAGATGGCCAGGATTTTTGCAGCCAAAGCGTATGCTAGAGGAGGCAATGGTCAGTGCTGCAAAGAACTATGATGTTTAAATTTTGGAAGTCCTTTTTGAGTGTAGCAATCAAGATATGGTCGGACGAGCAATAGTCAACGCTGCGTCCACTCGAGAACTTCTAGCAGCAGAATTATTGATGCGAAGCTGCAATCCGAAGTTTTCCCGACATTCTTATTCGATCTGTGAAAAATGGAATCGTGGGGCTGGTAAAGTTGCTGGTAAACAAGGTGGACACACAAGCTTTGGACTCTGCGTTGAGACTTGCCATCAGATATGGAGATTTAGAACTCGTAAGAGTACTGCTGAATGCGAGCGATTTGTTCCTGATCAAGTTTGCTGAACAAATTGGACACGTCAAGGTGACGAGGTTACTGCGAATGCGAGCCAGAATCGCGGATGCAGAACTGCAAAACGGCCCAGCTACCGTGGTAGATAGGACATCCCGCAAACGATCTCGTCTGACATGAAACCAAAACTACTGTCAGAGTAGTAAACTTTACCAGCCTGGCGAAAATCCGACGTCAGGCATAGCGGTCTCCTTTACACAGACATGGAACTACTGTGAGCAAGTGTAGCGTGTGCATTGGAGTCAATCCTTGAGGTAATGGTGAGTGAGTGAACAAGAAGAACAGAGCGAAGGACAATATCTTTACTAAAAGAATAACATAAACACCGACGGTCGAACTACACGTAGTGATTTAAAGTTAAATCGAGCAGCCTAGTGGTGGTGATGTGAAGCAATGGGCTCGTTTAACGTTAGAATGTTTCGTAACTGAAAAATTGTTGGGGGCTGGCAGCTTGCAGCTGGAAATTTTCGATTTGCGAGCGCTGGGCTCGCGAAAGCGTCACGCCAGCTCATATGAAATGATGGGGCTATAATAGTCGACTACTAACGGGTGCTATCTGAGATTGAAGTGCGTTGGTCTTTGCTGAGGTCATAGGCGATAGAAATATAAAGATATTAGGTGCGACAACTTGTTATGCATGGTGGCTATGCATTTAATCCTCTAGCATTGAACTCATCATTTTCCAACCAAACAGTTCTCTCTTAGATCATACCGATGTCGTTCGATGTCGGGGACTGAAATAAACTGAGCTGGCACTTGGACGAAACTTGACTGGCATAAGTCGGGCCCGGTGTCACGGGACCCTTAGCTTGGTTATTGCATGGCGTGGCGATCTCAACGTCAACATGCGAAACGCGGTATTCAGGCTTCGAAGCTGTTGCCTTGGCCGCTCTACGCGTAGCGAGTCGTTGGCGTAGCGAAGACCACGCAGCAAATCCTCGGTCGCGTACACGAGCGATAAAGCTCTTGACTTGCTGCCAGCGGTTGTTGCCGAAACTGGAGATCACCGATATTTTGCTAGTAGCAGGCGGCTCATCCGGATAATCTGGTAGCGGGCTGCCCAGTGCACTCAGCGTAGTCGCTATCAACGCGTTGCTGTTCGCATCTGCGTTGGCGTCGTAGCTGGCGCTCATTGTGACAGTCGAAAGTCGGTGACGGTATGCGTACACGCGCAGCATAGTGAAGGCCACAGCAAAGACCACAAGCCCCGCCAGCACTCCGACGTAGATCGCAAGCGTGAAAGTTGGCAACTGCGTCTGGGAGTCCATGTTGCACACTGCCGAAAGCTCCACAGCAAAGCATCGAAGCGTCTTATCGCGCTAGAATACGCCCATCCGATCGCAGCGAATAGAAGCCCTGAATTCCTGGCCTGATAGGCGATGGCCGCCGACTGACGCTCATGTAGCTCATCGCCGTCCCACCCATCTAATGTCTGTGGCGCTGAAATGACGACCTCTGATTGGCCCAGCACGTGGAAGTTAGTATTTCTCATTAGCCTCGATAACAGCATACGAAGTGTCGTAATATAGACTAGTTAGGTTTGCCACACCATTCCGTGGGTCCTGCTTGCGTCAAACAAAAAACGCCCACGTTCAACCTCATAGTAAGAGGCCGCAGTATCTCATTCTTCGAACCACCGGCAAGTGATAAAGTCTCCAGTCCGTTCGTCATGGTACGTGAGAGCAAAACTGCCACCACTAGTACAGGTGCGCCCATCCCGCCCAACGGCCTCACGGCGTCGGCCACTGCCGGGCCTCGTGGTCCCATGGTGCTCGAAGACTTCGCGTTTATCGACCACATGGCGCACTTTGACCGAGAGCGGATCCCGGAGCGTGTGGTGCACGCCAAGGGAGGCGGCGCCTTCGGCTACTTCGAAGTGACGCACGCAGACATTACCCAGTACTGCAGCGCTAAGCTCTTCAACCGCGTGGGCAAGCGTACACCCGTAGCTATCCGTTTCTCGACCGTAGGAGGCGAACTGGGCAGCGCCGACACGGTGCGGGATCCGCGTGGCTTCGCCATCAAATTCTACACGGAAGAAGGCAATTGGGACCTTGTGGGCAACAACACGCCCATCTTCTTTATCCGCGACGCCATCCTCTTCCCGAGCTTCATCCACACGCAGAAGCGTCTACCCAACACGCACCTGAAAGACGACGACATGATGTGGGACTTTTTCTCCCTGCGTCCGGAGACACTGCACCAACAGAGCTTTTTGTTCTCCGACCGCGGCATCCCTGACGGCTTCCGCTTCATGAACGGATACGGCAGCCACACGTTCGCCAATGTAAACGCCCAGGGCGAGACCGTGTACGTCAAGTACCACTTCAAGACGGACCAAGGCATTCGCAACATGCCTGTAGACAAGGCAGCGGAACTCGCCAGCTCCGACCCGGACTACTCCATCCGTGATCTGTACGAGGCTATTGCTAACAAGCAGTATCCGTCCTGGACACTGTATATCCAGGTCATGACCACCGAACAGGCGGCTAAAGAGAGCGTGAACCCATTTGATGTGACCAAAGTCTGGTCTCACAAGCAATACCCGCTCATTGAAGTGGGTCGACTTGTGCTTAACCGTAACCCGACCAACTATTTCGCGGAGATCGAGCAGATCGCCTTCTCTCCGTCTCACATGGTGCCGGGTATCGAGCCATCGCCTGATAAAATGCTACAGGGTCGTCTGTTCTCCTACCCGGACACTCAGCGTCATCGTCTGGGTGTCAACTACAACCAGATCCCAGTGAATCGCCCACTGAAGGAGCCCCAAACGTACCAGCGTGATGGCTTCATGGCTGTCAATGGCAATATGCACGACACGCCCAACTACTTCCCGAACAGTAAGAATGGTCCACCTGAAGACACGACGCTGCGTTACCGGGCCTACGAGGGCGACCACGTTGTGGTGAACAAGTACTTAACCTACGACGACGATAACTACTCGCAGGTGGGAGAATTCTACCGCAAGATCTTGGATGCCGCGGAACGCGAACGACTTACGGACAATGTCGCCGGTTCGCTGGTGAACGCGTCCAAGCCTGTTCAGGCACGTGCCATTGCGAACTTCACTAAGTGTGACCCACACTACGGCCGCCGTGTGCAAGAGAAGGTAGACGCATTGGCGCAGCAGAAGCAACGTGCTGTGCCCGAGTCGTTCCCAGCTCCGTCTAAGCTGAGCCCGCCTCGCAAGGCGTTCGTACCGGCACCACCGTCGGACGACGTGGCTCCGCGATTGTAAGACTCTTGCCAGGTTGAAGTTCGTGTAACGTTAGCCATTTCAGTGATTGCAACGAACTGGGGGATGAATTACTACAGTACTTGACAGAAAAACACAAGTGTTGTTGCTTGCGTTTCACCCACTAAAAGCGAAGCCATCTCATGCTAGCGAAAAGTAGCGAAGGGGCTTAGTTCCAACAGGATACAGTAATGGTTGCCGTGGTAACTTGTCACCACATTTGAGAGGAATTTTTCTCGTGGCAAATCGATGCCATCGCCGATGATGCGAACCTGGTTGGCGTCCGCAATCTCTACATACATCGTTTCGTACCTTTGTGCATTTATTTATTCGATTGGTTTTGTCGAATCGGGCTTTCGGCCAATGTGAAGCCTTTATTGCGGCCTTTCATTAGGGTTGCAGAGAAACGGTTTTGTTTCACGCATAAAAGGACAGTTGAACCACTTCGTTATATAGTACCCTTTTGAAAATGATACGTAGTGAGGCTTATTGGGAGTTGATTTATTAGTAAAAAGAACTTTAGCATCTAATTAATGACTTTATTTCATACAATATAGTATCACAGTCAAATCCGCGCATACAAGCAGGTTCTTTGAGAAACTTGCCAAGCAACACCGAAGCGCCCATAAGTCATCTCGCCGACTCGCACTTCCTCCTCTTCCCATTCGAAGTTCATGCGGGAGCCCACACACCGCCGCACTACATCAGAGCTGGATATGAGCTCCATGCGCCGCATCAGCGACGCGCTGCTGCTGGCCCAGAACCGCGCACGCCGCGCCACGGACCGCGCAAATCAGGCCGAACAGTGCGTCCTTTCACGGCATTTCTGATAATTGGCGTCGTCTCATCTTTTGTGCTGTTGTACTACAACTTATAGCGTATTGGGTCTCGTACTGAACCAAGTGGACGTCCCCCGACTTCGTGTGGACTCACTGGCCGACTGGGAAATGCTACGTGCGGCTGTTGCCTTCAACCCGGTGCCACGACGAAGAATTGGCGACGTGGAGCTCAGTAACTTAGAGGACGCGTCGCCTGTGCCTTCTTCGTCTTCCTGCGTCGAAGATGTTGCCAAAGACGTGGTGACCAACTTAAACGTCGCTATGAGCCATCACACACGCTACCTTGAGCAATTGACGCTACCTACAGTGCACTTCTCGCTTTGGAATTACAAGGACGGAGGTTTCTTCAGCCCCGTCCACTTCGTGGCAGGCCTTCTGGCTGGAGTCGTAGTGGGTGCTGTCGTGACTAAGCAGTGGCAGCTACAATTTGTGCACTCGCGAGTGGAGAGTCCGTCGCTCTTTTCTAAACTGGCAAAGTGGTGTAGTCGGCGTGCACCCGCACCCGGCACACCGTGGCATCTCATGCCATTGCCGATGGACGAGTACAGCTACCTCATGCACCCCGCGACGGTCGAGGTGGCGTAAGATTTGACACAACAGGACAGAAGAATATGTATGCCAAGAACCACGGACGACGCTGGACTCGATCTGGGTCTGAATAAGCGGTAGCAGTCGCACAATTTGATTTGATACGATTGATACGAAAAGTACATGTAGATTAGCGTTAGACCCTGTTTCGATCATTTGACCTGTAAGTTGTTTAGCAGTTGTTTCCTTTGCTCTTATATTTTTTTCTCTCTCTTTCTGCTTTTGCTAGGTGTCTATCGTTGACTGTGCTCTCCGCTCTCTATACAAGAAACGCGTCGCAAGCAAGCACTTGGGAGTGCAGCGCGTATGATGATCAAGACGATGCCTCACAGGCTTTGGCCGTACCGGTATGGCTTCTCCTGAGTGAGCAACGGGGGCTGCTGTGACGAGCGCCTACCTGTCTCTCTGCTCTGTCGCATTCACGGCCACATCCCCAGCCATCACGACGCTGCGTTCTCCGCCACCCTAGATGGAGAACTCATTAAAGCTACTCTTGTCTTTCTTACCCTTGGCTTTAGCTTTAGCTTTCTCTTCACGAGCGATTCTCACAGCGGCGGGCTCGGCCGCTTTCTTCTTCTTGCCCTTGGACTTCATCACAGCCTTGATGTCCACCACGTCGGAAGTTGCAGTCTCAGGCTCGGCCTTGACAGGCTTTTTGCCCTTCTTTTTTTTCTTTTTCTTGTCCGACGAACCGGCGGAAGGCGTTTCGGCCTTGGACTCTTCCTTCTTATCGTCGTTCTTGGGCTGGGGAGCGTCGTCCGTCTTGATGCCGAGATCGGCAAGTGCGGACTCGAATTCCTTCATCTCCAGCTCCTTCTTCTCCTTCTTGGACAGCGTACGGACAGGAGCGGCCTCTTTCTTGGGGGCTGCAGGTGCGGCAGGTTTCTCAGGCTCTTCGTCCTCTTCCTCCTCCTCACTTTCGCTCTCGCTGTCCTCTACATCTTCCTCTTCCTCCACGGCCTCCTCAACGACGGGGGCGTCCGGTGCATGCATCTCGTCGTCGCTATCGTCGCCCCAAGCGGACGTCGACGGGTTGTTTACGAAACTGGCGAACATCTTGTTTTGCTGCGGCTCAGCCGTCTTTTTCTTGCGCTTCTCTGGCTGCAGCGCCGAAAACACGTTGCTCTGTGTGCTCATACTGGGCTAGATGGGGGTTAAAGTGACGGATTGGTATGCGCAGGACGCGGCCAGATCCTGGATCTGTCTGTGCAATGAAAGTGGACGAGTGGAAGGGGGGACCGGTGGATACCGATCAAAGATAACGTGAATATCGCACTGCGTGCTAAAATATTGACGATAGGGTTTGAAAATGTACAGCTATCCATTGGTTGGACCTGCCAACTGTTGGCGCGACAGGATTGGTTGAAAGACGCGGAACTTAAATCGTCTGTTTGTAGCCAGCTCAAAACGCACGTGACGTCGGCAGAAACTTGGTCACTGCGCCGCTGCGATCTATTCCTATCGCTCGTTGCTCGTTGGCATTAGTATTTGGCTCAAGCGAGCCCGCTGTCCCAGCTTCCAACCAACACGCAAGAGTCGAGTGTGCAGAAGGGAAAAATAGCCGTCAATCAGCCGCCCCGTCCCTCGGGGTCAGTCGTAAGCAGCCTCCGTTTTTCGCTTCTATTTTAGCCTTGGCCTGCGCGCGTGGCGTTCACAATCGGAAACGCAGCACGGCCAGTTGAGACCTCGTTCTGACCTCTGCTTGAGCGCTGTGTGTCATGTCGCGCTTGAAGGATGTCTACGGAGGCCTGCGGAAGGAGATGAATGCGACGTTCGACCGCACAGACATCGTGTCCGTCGTAAGCGGCGGCAAAGCCGGCTACGCGAATCTCAAGCACCTCAACGTGGGTTCGCCTGGAAGTGACGTCAGCGATCTTGGAGACACGGCAGACCTCGAGGAGCTATTGGCACAGGGATCCAGTCAAGGGCCGCAGACGCATCCGGGTATGTATTTTGCCTGCCAAGTCATAAATGATCGAATTAAAACTTTTAACTTGCTGCTTCAAACAGGTATTGTTTGCTGTGCCATCTTCTCGTTTTCCGGCTTCTTCTTGCTGGTAAGTAAGGCTCCAGTGGGTGGTCTGTGGGTTATTAGGTAAAGCTGACATGCTTGATTGTTACTATTTAGCTCATTGTGGGCTGCATCGTGAGCAGCAACTCGCTATACATTAAGGTTAAACCTCCCCATGGCCAGCCCAAGTCGTCGCTGGCAACAAGCATTTTCCTGGCAGCCTTCCTGTATCTGTGTGTCTTCGGCACCAGCATCATGTACTTCCTGCGTGCGAGACGTGCACAAAAGGTGTATCAGCTCTCACTCGACGTGCACGCCGATTAACGGGACACATTTAGTTAGGGTGATAGCGAGACCTTACGCGCTCGTCCAGGTGCACCGAATCTGTAGATTAGCAATGGAGAACGAGAAGCAACCGATAAAAATGAGCACAATACAAGCAGCAGCAATATCTAGAGCGACGCACGCACTTTCAATTCAAGAAATGGACCGACAACACAGTGATGCAGGAGCTACATACCCGTGAGCAACCAAGACAGGCGTTGTCCTCGCAGCCAATTAATTAACTTCATTTCCTGTGAGCTGGCGCCTCGTTGCTGTCTCGCTCATCGTCCTCTGCAGGTCCGTCATAAACGAGCAGCAAGTTCTTCTCGAATGCAGCAGCAAGCAATTGCTTGGAGACTTCCACTTTGGCTTTCTTCTTGCTGATAGCGTTGGCTGAGGTGATCAGTTCGCCATTCAGAAAGCCCGTGCACTTGAACTCGGTGACTTCTTTGTTAGGTGACACGTCTTCAATATCAAAACGAGCTTGAAGACTCCTACGCTGAGTAAGTTGGTTCAGTAAAGGCAGCGGTTCGAGTTGTCGCTCTAGCCAACTCACGCGTACAGGCAACTGAGGTCCATCGTCGACGATCTGTCGAGGCGTTTCTGGTACTTCCAGCTCACGCGTCTGTGGCTGTCCATTGGCCTTTGCACTCTTGAATCGCTCCAGATATGCCACGTCTTCAGGTGTCAATTTGCCAGCTACTTCCTTGTCGTGCCAGAGCTTCTCAATGGCGATTTTACACGCCTCGTTCTTCACAATTTTCTTGGCAGTGCCTTGCACATTATTTGCAAGCACTTTGCCCGTAGCAGCGTTCACAATAGTGCACTCAAATAGAGGCTCTTCACCCATGTCAGAGTTGTGACAAGAATGAATGTCGACCATCATTCTTTGTTTGATCTTCATAAAGTAGACGTTCAGTCTCGCAGCAGCAAACGTGTCGTCTTCTCTAGTCGGCAGCGGAGTATTGTCGATTCTCTTCTGTACCGCGTCTTGCAGTTGTTGCTCACGTTCTTCCTGCGACAATGGAGGGCGGCCTGACGCTAAACCTGCCGCCTCTGCAGCCATCGCAGCTTGCAGTTGCTCCGCTCTGATCTCAGATAGCTCTGCCTGCTCCATCACCTGCTTGCGTTCGGCTGCCTCAATCTCCTTGCGGAAGTTCAAAAACTGCGCCTTGTCCGGGTAAAACCCCAACGCCCTATCAACGACCTCGTTCGCTTCGTTAAAGCGACGCTCCATGAGCCGCAGCTTGACCATCGCGTACAGCGCCTTGGTGGACGTCTCCTCTACCGCCAGTGCCTTGGCTGCGTACTCGTTGATTAGCGATCGATCCTTCATTTTGATGCCACAGATCGCGACGTTATTGCACAGCGTCACGTATCTTTCTTGCATGTCTAGATCGTCCCACTCCGCCGCAGGGACAGTTTTGCCGTAGTATTCACTCTGCTGGTGCTTTAGCACGGCCTCCAGGCTCTTTAAGAAGGCGTTCTTTGCCGCATAATAGTTCTTTTCCTTGAATTTCGACTTGCCATCGCTTTGCGCTCTGTCCGCCTCCTCCAGAAACTCAGGAGGCGTCACATCGTCCAGATTCTGCAGCGTCATGGCTGCAAGACGCTCTTCTGCTGCACGAGAATACCACTGGTCCAGGTCTTTACCCTGCGCGTGCGAATGCGGCTCAGCGTCCCGCATATGTAAGAGTGTTTGTCGCACTTGTGGGTCCCAGACCCAGTCCTCGAACGAACGTGATGTGTCCCGCACGAACGTGAGTAGCAGCTCCTGCACACCGTGCAGAGGAAGCAGCGGCTGGAGGAAGCCCTGAGTCTGCTTGTCGCTCGCTCCTAGCACTGCGCGCAACCGCGCCATGTCATCTGCTGCATTCATTGACGAAGCGTGTCTTTCACTGTTCACTCTACCGGTATTTACCTATTTTCGTACATTCGCAATTTAGTGACGTCACAAATTCGGGAAATGTGATCAAGCGTGCCGAAAATAAGCCCGATTTTTGTCATAAACAGTCCTCAATTTTAAAGGAAATCGGCTTTGCTTTCCTATTTAAGTCAGTCGTAGCCGACAATGCTACGCACACTGTCGCCGATAGAGTAACACGGTGTTGCTCTGGGATTCATCGTGAGACCGACTGCACGTGAGCAGCTGTGTGGGGAAAGAGGGCGAGCCTCATCTCCGATGGCTTGTCGAACTCGACACTGCCATTACCGCTCGTCATATCACTAACGAGCCGTCGAAGATTGCGCTCGCCATGTCATGTCTTGCCAGACGAGCGAGCGAGGAGCTTAGCATATGGCCGCCGGATCACGGATCATACGTAGCACGTATGCAATACTCAAGGAGGAGCTCAGCCAAGCGTTTGACCTCCTCAGAATGAGTTCCGGTCGAGAGCGCAGTTTCTCGATCTGCAACAACGTAAGCATGATCAGCGTGCGCGGTACTTGGTCTCGTACATCGTGACTAATCCGATCGACGAGGCGACACAGGTCGTTACGTTCATGGAGGGGTTGGAAACTGGGTCGGTTAAGACCTATCTCTTCCGAGAGTACTCAAGCACTCTTGAAGCTGCGCTTTCTCTTGCGATGCAAGAAGAGTCTAGCCTAAAGCAGGCTAAGCTGCATGCGAACGTACCGAGTATGGCACGTCCGATGATGAGAGCGGGAGGTCCAGAGCTTATGTACCTCTCGAATGCTTCTGCTGTTGGACGCCAACAGCGTATTGGGGGACAAGTGCGGTGTTACCGATGTGGATACACCGGACACTTTGCGCGTGAATGCACAGCGCTTAGGCACTCGGCCAGGAGCCAACGTGACGATTCCGATCATCGCCACGTACAATAAAAACCGTGCAGAACCAATAGGCGTACAGGTATTGCAGTCACGCGTGTCTACAACGGACACGCGACTCAGAGGACTGCAGCCCCCAGCGAGAGGGATTCTCACTGAAAGAAGTAACATGACAAGCCATATATTGTCATCCTGAAAGTGACATCGAAGCGAGCAAACTCCCTTCGTGCTTTGGTTGACTCAGATGCGTCGAACAACTTTGTTCCACTGGAAAGCTCCCCGAAGCTGAGCTTCGAGGAAGTTGAAACATCTCGAAGTACACCGTAAGAGAGGAGAAGCGCGTAGTACACGTGTGTTTCCCGTCCAAACACCGTGTGTATTGGGCATGCCGGCATGATCCAGTGATCCACTGGAAGAAGTGTACACTAGTACACTTTGGACGCATCGCTACAGAGAGTGATGGTCCTCTCAGGGTTGAGCATGCACCGCAAGATGCATCCGATTCTACCGTTGAGGCAGCATGTTACGTAGCAGCCTCCAGTGTCAATCTACAAGTCGCAACAACTGAGGCAGTCGTTGAGTCTGTCTCATATCGGAAACCAGATTTAAGGCACGTTCCTACTTCGTTGAACGTATCAACGCTGGGAGTTGATCAATCAAGTATGGAAGAACTTCAAGTCACACACAGTGACTGCGACGGTAGTGTGTCGGTCCTGGGGACAGACGCATCAGATACGCAAGGGACTCCAGCTACAATCAGTAGCTGTGATGTTGGCGTGTCAGCTTCGGGATTTGACATAGTACGATTGGTTCAAAAATCACGAAGGGATCCGCCGAATGGCGTCGAGGTGATGACAGCGCGTCAGCTCCGGGAGCTGATGACGCGGCAAGCAGTGGTGGTGGTTGCAAATGTCCAACACTGAAAGCGTTTGCATGCTCGCGTGCAGCCGGGCTGCACGACGAAGCAGAATGTAATCAAGCCGGGCTTGATCTTTCGCGTCCGCGGAGAACTCCGCCGACGGCTACAACGGAAATCCGACCAAGGCCGGGTCTGGACGAGAAACATGTGAAGCGGGGCTTCACAAGAACAAACGACGGCACAAGCGACGAAAGCTCCGCAAGTCTTGGTCCAGGATCAAGGCGATGCGAGCGATGTCTGCTGGGCAGACATCGGAGAGGACGTCGTGCGTCAAGACGCTGAACGTCTTGACGTGGACCCATACTGGTCTCTAGTACCGGCCAATTCGATCGGAGAATCCTCCGACGAGTGCGTCGGAGCTGACGTCGCTTCCAGTCATGAGCTGGATGCGCTTCACGAAGGACTTGAACGATGGACGATCAAACAGATATGCATCCTTTCGGATGTCGAAAGGATGAAACGCGAAGCGGAGGAGCTGAGTCAACTTCATGCTGCGAATACCGCTGAGTGTGAGAATACTCTCAGCGCGAAGACGAAGAAGCAGTGCTTCGAGGAGCAGAGCTGGGACTCGTTGAAGTCGGGTCCCTTCTACAATGTCCTGCAGGAGCACAAGGATGTGTTCCTGGATAAGATTTCCGCGATACTTCCGCAGGACAAGGACATACAGCACGAGATCGACCTTGTGCCGGGTACGAACTACTGCGTTACGCGGCAATGACCACTGCCGCGAGATCAAGTAAAGGCAATCGACGACTTCTTTGGAAGTCTTCGTGAAGCGGGCCAAGTGCGAAAAATTAAAGTCCCCGCACAGCGCACCCCCGTTCTGTGTCATAAGTCACAGGGCGGATGGTGCATCGCTCGTGCTTACAACAAGCTGAACGATGCCACGATACCGGCGCAGACGCCGATGCCACGAAAAGATGTTATCATCGATTCGATGACCAGAAGCGCAATATATAGGGCTCTTGATCTGCGCGACGGGGTCTATCAGATTCAGATGCGTGAGAGAGACATTACTCTCACGGCGGTGAGCACTCCAAGCGGTATGCTTTTACAGTGGCTCGTAATGCCGCAGGGACTGAACAACACCTCTGCAAACTTCAATAGATGTGTCACACGTCTATTGTGCTCAGTGCGTGACTTCGCAACGATCTACTTCGACGACGTGCTCGTTCACAGCCGGGCTGTGGATGGGACGTCCCACGTTGAGGTGCACAAAGAGCACCTCAACGTGGGCTAGGGCTTATGCGTAAACATAAGATCTATGCGAACCTGAAGAAATGTATCCTCGGGGCAAGCGAAATACTCGTCCTTGGGTGTCTCGTCGGGAAGAACAGCGTACGACCTGACCCAGAAAAGGTCAGAGTGATCGATGAAGACAGTTCCTTGGACTTGCAATGTACTTCTACAAGAACGTTGAGAATTACGGGGGCACGATTTGCCCGCTGTCGCAGCTTCTGAAGGAAAAAGCTGGGTGGATTTGGACTGCTGAGTGTCAACGGGCCTTTGATACTGTCAAGCAGGGCTTGACTGAGGCGCCGGTCGTGGCAGGGGCTGGCCAAGATTGTCCATTTCACATCGTGTGTGACGCGTCCGATTTTGCGATCGGGTGCGCGTTGATACAGCACGGTCACGAGGGCCGTGATCACGTAGTCTACTATGAATCGCGTCAGCTGAGCATAACTACCCTGTACCTGACAATGACTCCTTTCCTTGAAGTATTCACTCGCGAAGCTCCGAGTGTATTTACTTGGGGGTAGACCATTCGTGGTCTATACCGACCACGCTTCACTGCGAACGGCAGTGAAGATTCCGTACATCTCGCAACGAATGGTGAGATGGTTATCGTTCTTTACGGTGTACGACTTCCAGGTCGAGTACAAACCTAAAGGTTGAATGTGGTGGCCGACGCTTTGTCGCGTCGACCTGATTTCGCTGTTAAGACAGCCGGCGCCAATCGGATTGGCGTCGAGCGAGTAAGTGTTCTGTCGTCGTCATTGATCGACGACGCAAATAACGCGTATGCGAGTGACGCAGACTTGAAACAATTGCTAGACTATGTCTTAGCACCTTCCGACACAGCACGTCGGAAGTTGTCACCACATCTGCGAGCTCGTGCACAATGCTATCGTGTGTAAATAGGACTGCTGCTTTACAGCTCAATGGACGATGATGCGGATCGCATCGTCTTGCCGAATGATTATGATCTGCGTATGCGGATCATGTACGAGTATCATGCTGCCCCTACGGCAGGGCGTCCGGGTCGCAAGAAGACGTACACTCTTCTCACCAGGGACTTCTACTGGAACCACCAGTACAGGTGGGTGCGCAGGTACGTACGTACTTGCGAGCTGTGCCAACGCATAAAGCCTGCTGCGTATTCGCAGGCTTCACTACAATCACTACCGACACCGTCGGAGGACTGGCGTTGTGGTCTTTGTTGACCAATTTAGCAAGATGGTTTATCTTGCTGCAGTACCGGCTGAAGTCACGACCGTGCAGACTGCACGACTGTTTGTTGACATGGTGTCCCGACACCATGGAATGCCGCTCGACAATGTGTCGGACCGCGATCCTCGCTTTACAGCGTGGTTCTGGCAAGAAGTGTTTACACTTGTTGAAACACAGATGGGCGATGGCGACTGCGGATCATCCGCAGACGGACGGACAGACTGAGCGCGTGAATCGCGTGCTCGGTGACGTGCTGAAGGGCTACGCACACTTGCTCTCACAGTAGAGCGACTGCTTGCCGATGGCTGCGCTTACAGCAACTCGGTGCATGCCTCTACAGGGCATACACCGTTTTAAGTGAATGCCATGCGGCTTTCCGAGCTTGCTCGGAACAGCGGCTTCCTCCTTAAGTGGGGGTCTATAGTTGTGTCGAAACAACCGCAGAAGAACACTGATACTGACGTGGTGTCAGCGGTGACGACGAGAAAACAAGCGTCTCGTTCCGGTAACAAGGCGAAGATCAGGAACGCCGTGTCTTTATGGCTCATACACCGCGAACAAGAAAACGTATGTACCGGGTACAGAGAGCGCGTAGACCGGGACTGTTGTGGAAGAGGAAGCCGTGCGTGCTGAACAAGTTATTCAGCACGCAATCATGGACTTTGTCCAACGTCGACAAGCCGTAATACGGTTTGTCCAGGACGCAATAGCAGCTTCTGTAGACAAACAGGAGCTGAGCGTAGACAATGTCGTCGAAGGAAAAACAAATGCTTTCAAAACCGGTTCATTAGTTCTGTTAGCTACACAGAACCTGCAACGGCATGCAGTTTCGTTTTTTGGTGCAAGCAAGTTTGCCTCACGCTTCATCGGCCCGCTCTCAGTGCTTGAACGACAGTGCAACACGTATACGCTGGACATACCGTTCAGCATGCGACTCCATCCTACAGTTTACGTCGGGCGGCTGAAGCCTTACGAGCAGCACGAGCCATCTAGGCTTGATGGATCGAGGACGACGAAGCGGCGTGAGCCAGCCTCTCGAGCGCAACGACGCGGTCGCGCAGGCATCTAATCTCCGTTCCAAGTGCGACATGGATGTTCGAAGTGGTCTACAGCGACCTACGCCTTCTGAAGGCGCAGCTCCAATTGCAGGGCAGCCAGCTCCGCGCTCTGGAATTGTTCCAGAGCGACGAGACGATTGTGCAGAGCGCGAGAGCCATGGCCAATCTGGGGTTGACCATACGGAGTGTATCAAGTTGCATTGTCGAGCGGGTAGTGGACTATGAAGCCCCGAAGACGAACCGGGATCAGGCTCGTCTTCGTGTTGGTTAGAGAGGACTTCCTCCCCATCGAAATACATGGGAGCCACGGGACATCTTGATGAAGGTCGTTCCGGAAATGGTGAGGGCGTACGAGGTCCAGAACCGAATGCAGGCATAATACGAGGGCCGTCCTATCTACTAAAGTTTTGGGATGCAGCACTAAAAGATAGAACACAGCACAAAAATAATCTCAATTAGCACTTTAAAACATACAAGTCTCACTAACTCAAAAATAGAGGAGTTCCACTATTTGCAGGGCACGCCCACTAAAAGTAGGAGAATGACAACTATCTCATGCGAATTTGAAACTCCTGAGCTCTTTTAATTGAACTATGTTTGTGAGCACTTTGCCAACCGAACTCGGTCCACTGGGGTACTACTTGGACTTGTTTGGTCTGGACACGGAGAAATCCTGGGTCACTTACGGTATTATTTACATGGCTGCTATCTACGTGGTGTTCATGATCTTGTCGGGTCTTGCACTTGAATTCCTCCGCTACGAGACCCCCGAAAATTTCGACGTGTCCGAGAAGCCCATCAAGGACGAAACCTACACGAGGATGGAGACGCCCAAGAACAACATATCAGCGGCGACGGAGGACTGCGTTGTGGGATTTCAGTCGACCGCTCAGGAGAAGAACTTCGTGCCAGTGACCATGGCTTTACAAGACCTTCACTACTTCGTGCTGGATCCCCACAACCCCAAGGAATCTCTCGAGCTGCTAAAGAAGATCAACGGGTTTGCTGTGCCCGGGTCCATCACGGCTCTCATGGGCTCGTCGGGTGCAGGCAAGACGACGCTAATGAACGTGATCGCAGGACGTAAGACTGGCGGGAAGATCACCGGCAGAATCCTGTTGAACGGCTACGAAGCGAACGACCTCGCCATCCGTCGGTGCACGGGCTACTGTGAGCAGATGGACGTGCGCTCGAAGGCTGCTACGATCCGCGAGGCGTTGACGTTCAGCTCGTTCCTCCGCCAGGATGCCTCGATCTCGGACGACAAGAAGTACGACTCGGTCAACGAGTATATTGAGCTCTTGAGTTTGGAGGACATCGCGGACCAGATCATCCGCGGCAGCTCAGTCGAGCAGATGAAGTGCTTGACTATCGGCGTGGAGCTCGCTGCTCAGCTAAGTATCATCTTCCTGGACGAGCCTACCAGTGGACTGGACGCTCGATCGGCGAAGCTCATTATGGACGGTGTTCGCAAGGTGGCGGACTCGGGACGTACCATCATTTGCACGATCCACCAGCTGTCAGCCGAAGTGTTCTACTTGTTCGATAGTCTGCTGCTGCTGAAGCGTGGAGGCGAGACGGTGTTCTACGGAGACTTGGGCCGCGATTGCTGTAACTTGATCGAGTACTTCGACGGTATCCCGGGGGTGCCTTCCCTCTCTCTTGGCTACAATCCCGCGACGTGAATGCTGGAATGTATTGGCGCCGGTGTGAACAACGCGGCGGGTAACCAGACGACTTCGTGAACTACTTCAGCGGCAGTGCACTGGGTGAGGCTCTGCACAACAACCTCGCCAAGGAAGGCATCACCACGCCCTCCTCGGACCTACCAGAGATGATCTTCGCCGACAAACGTGCAGACAACTCGGCGACGCAGATGAAGTTTGTCGTGACCCGATTCATCCAGATGTACTGGCGAACTCCGAGCTACAACCTCATGCGCATGATCCTCGCTGTGCTCCTCGCACTGGTCATCGGTCTCGTGTTTATCGACGCTGACTACGCGTCGTACACGGGTCTCAACTCGGGTGTTAGAATGGTCTACATGGGTGCTCTCTTTTAAGCGATGATGGCGTTCCAGAGTATTCTGCGGCTTGTCTGCTCCGAGCGAGCGTAGTACTACCGGGAACGCGCGTCACAGACGTACAATGCGCTGTGGTACTTTGTGGGCTCGACCGTGGCTGAGATTTCCTACTGCTTCTGCAGTGGCTTGCTCTTCACGGTTGTGTTCTACCCCATGGTGGGCTTCACGGGCTTCTGGACTGGCGTCGTGCTCTGACTGACGATCTCGCTGCTGGTTCTCATGCAAGTGTACCAAGGAACGGTGTTTTTCTTCTTGTTGCCGTCCGAGGAAACCGCGTCAATCTTCGGACTACTTTTCAATACCGTCACGATGATGGGGGATGGGCTACAGTCCTCCGGTCTACTTGATCCCGTCCGGTTTCTCTTGTCACACACTCTTACGACGAACAGAGTGGCAATGAAGTCGGCGATACTGTTGGGGAGCTCATCGAGGAGAGGCATACCGAGCCAGAACCACTGACTGCGGTACACGTTCCAGGTGGCCAGAAAGTTTGTGGGAAGGCGTCCACGATCATGACGCCGAACTGACACACGACCCACGTGCTTTGGATCGGACTGGAACCAGACACGAAAACCAGCGAAAAGATATGGCAAAGGAGCGGAAGGCGATCACCTGGAACATGACGCGGTGCTGCACCAGGTCGTACGTACAGGTAGACGAATAACGTGTCCATGGCCATCCAGGCATTGATCTTCTGTTTCTGTAGAGCGTCGTCCTTATTATCCAGCACGTTCTCGAGGTATAGGCCGGCGGCTTGAAAAGTACTGCGTAGAACGAGTGATAGAGGCTAATTAGAACCTTGCTGGGTCTTACGCTATTTGTTTTAGTATCTTTGTTATTGCTTCATGGTTTGCTATTTTGACTGGCCTAATCGTTTCGTTTGTTAAGGACTACAAGCAGTACGTACCTGTAGAGAGCCACTTCAATAAGATAAGCATTATAAGTCGAATGAGCTCTTTCAGAAGCGCTCTCGTCGTAATGCTGGATGCATGGCCTTAGTTTTTTGCTCCGCTCGATTGGTGCCTAGCTCCCTTTTATAGTGCTAGAATATCAAGTTGACAGTTACACGAAGAAAATAAAAAGTTGGTGATGACTCCTGTTTTATAAGTGGCAGTGCACCACTGATAAGTGCGTAAACTCAACTTACAGTTTAAATATTCACTTTTGTAGTTTTTCTCTCGTCTCCTCGCATAATACCTGCACTAGAACTACGAGTGCCACCAGTACGGTGTGCACCACGTTGCTCGATTTGAGCACGAAGGTCTTCCAGTAGAGGGGATACACGCACGGAAGGGTACCCGAGAAAATTCGCGTTCAGAAAGGCGCATCGCCCCGTAGCGACAGTGTGGACATGCAGTTTGAGCTGGAACTGCGCAGGAAATTCTCGCTTCAATAGCGTCACTATGGAGGCGATCGATGAGATGACGCCTGGAGAAGGTCTTGAAGCGCAGGTGTGTCGCGGCAATGCGTTCGCGGTAGCCTCTCGGATTGTTGTTGAAGCTTACAACAAATGCGTTCCAAAATTGACAAAGTGCCACTAGCTCGGGCACTTTGCTTTTGCACGAAGTCTTCTTCGACGCACTACATCGGACTCTTCCATGAGCTCCGTCGTCGCGTCTTTGATTCGTTGACGGATCAAAGTGCATGTCGACGGCCTCAAAGTAATCATTGATGACGCTGCACACGTACAGTTATATCAGATTCGGCGGTGAAGTAGCGCCGAACCTGTCAGCGATTTCAGATGCAGTTGGCATCCAGGGAGCGCATACTGCAGGTGCAGTACGCGGAGAAGAAGGCGGCACCGACACAGATGGCTGCGCCTCTTCTTTATTACGCAGACGCTTCGATCCAGAAGCATCCGGGTCATCGTCACGGCCTTGATGCGACCGAACAGGGGGATTTGGCGTGTTGGTTCGGTCAACTTAGTGTCAACAGCTGAAGACAATGAGTTATTGTTTATTATGGGGGCGTCTTCAATGTCAGACCCATAGTTAATGGGTATGTCTTCGTTAGTAGACATTACTGACGAGCCCTCTATGACATCTGACGGCCTGTCAGTCGTAGTTTGCGCGCCCTTCTGATTATGCAGAGTGTGGTATTGAGTGACAGAAAGTTTATTTTGTATCGCGAGCGTGTTCGCTTGCGCAGACACTGAAGTGGTGGTGCCTGCAGGTGAAGGAACGGAAGTAACAGAGTCTGCCGTATCTTCCTTGGCGAGCTCATTGCTAAACGATCTTGGGTTTCACATACGTTTTGACGGTCTTGTCAATTCTTATAATGCTGTGTTTAGACTAGAGAGTCTTAGCTTAATGGGGGGTAACGGGGTTACACGCAAGTGGCTATATGTGGCCACTTGGCTACGAAGGGTTTCCACGTTGGTGTAAAATACACCAATGATTACATTTGGCAGAATAGATCTGCATGCATTTAAGGCATTGATTGGTTGAAAATCAATATCTTCAACCAATTAGAACTGTAGGATTCTGTCAACCATTCGTTGGCAAATACCTTTCACTCAGAATATTAGATTAGGAGGAAAATCGAAACAAAACAAATAAACAGCTCTCAATTTTACCAGAAATCGGCTTGGCTTTCCTATTTAAGTAAATCTATACTTCGGAGGAAAGTATAGCGAATCTAAGTAAAACGGAACTTACGCTTCCTCATACAGGTGCGCTAACGTGTAAGCTGAAGTAGTGGGCTTAAGGTAGACCCATTACAGGATCGATATCTCCATTCTGATGTTAATTTTTGCTATCGTAGCTTGTAGTCCCCCACACTGGTGACGAGGTTTATACAATCAGGTTCATGGTCGATTTGTCGTCACAGTGAATGAGAACGTTCTTATAAGCGACATAGCTCTTGTTATGCGAATGTTTCGCCTGAATTCATGGTCATAACTGCAATATTTGGTCAGCAATCAGCTTACATTCAAATAATGTTGAGCGAGGTAACAAAAAGCGTGTAGCCAGTACCGTGAAACTAGGACGTCTATGACTACGCTGGGAATACGGAATATTTTTTTGATAGTATTATTTTGAGTAGATTGTGTTTGGGTCGCAGTTAAAACTGAGTTTTGTGGACAAAATTGAGTTTTGGCCGGTTAAATCTTTTGAGTGCACGCAACCACTGGTAGATAGAATGACGAAAAATCTTCAAGCTGGCTTGGTAGTTCTTTTGAGTGCACGCAACCACTGGTAGATAGACTAACAAAAAACTCTTCAAGCTGGCTTGAGTTTCTTGTTGTGGACATCAGGCGTACCATTCATGCAGTCCGATTTCGTAATAGCAGCAGAATCTCTCTCCAGATTTTTTTCTGGGAGCCACGGGGGAACTTGGAGTGGTCTCTACTTTGACAACATCAGAATCGTTTCTGATTGGCCAGGTAAATCCGTGTCACGGGGGTGTATCCAATGAATTTAGTAGTCTATCCGTCACAACTCCATTTTCACGAATACTTTCATCGTTAAAGACGAATGCTCCGGGGTGGCCAGCACAGCAATAGTAGTACACTAATGCTAACCTCGGATCGGAAGAGAAATTCTGTCCCGTTGCCATCAATTCAATTTCTTCCTCCGAAATGTTGCTTTCCTGAAGAATTGATTCTGCCAACCGTTTCAAGCGATCATCGGTACTTAACCCATTGTCTGCAGCACACTCCTCATGTTTCGATTCAGAAGCAGCGCTGTCGGCGTTGTATTTCGCCGCACGATGACGCCGCATATATCCTGCTCTTTTTCGCTTCCTTTCACGTGCTCTGATTGAGTCTGGCGTTGATCTACCCTTTGTCGCCCGATATTCACGCATATAAGCTGCCTTACGCTGCCGCTTCCTTTCAGCTGGGTCTCCTCTCGGTTGATCGTCATCAAACGAAGGTCTAGGTCGCGTCACCATTGTGGCAAAAACAATAAGACACGACAGTTCAACGAAATCTGATCTGTTTACGTCATTCACAGTCAGTCGATCAACTGAATCCGAATTTTTGGGATAGAGCTGTCAATATTGATGGTTGATAGTGAAAGAGAACAATTTAATAGTGACCCGGAAGATTTTTTCCACGTGCGGAATTTCACAGCAATTTTACAGCTCATCAGTGCGTAGCTGACGGTTTAACCTCACCAAACTGCTGGTGGTCTGTAGCTTCAGAATGCGAAGGTGCTTCTTTCTATAGTTCAATCAAAATAACAGGTCACGTTAGCCAAGACGGCCACATCAAGCGGTCTGTTGACCTACCTGTCCAACAAAGGTACTTCTACACACGAGGCACATGATGCTGAAGCGACTAAAGTGGGTGAATTTATGTTTCGGATGAGCTTCCACCGCGACTTCACTGGCACGTTTAACCTATAAACCCACACAATCAGTACCTCAAACCTGTCAAAGTTAAGGACCGCTGACTCACCTTGGAAAAATCGTTAGATGCTGAAGCGACTGACGAGCTTCCACCGCGACTTCACTGGCACGTTTAACCTATAAACCCACACAATCAGTACCTCAAACCTGTCAAAATTAAGGACCGCTGACTCACCTTGGAAAAAAAACCTTAATCGCCGATTACCAGCGTGACGTCCTGGCTTTCCGAAGCTGTTGTCTGCCGGCGTGTTATGTTATTCACTGTTGTGTGTTGACTTGAATGTCGTACGAATGTTGACAGAGGTTACGTTACGCAGTACCGTAGAATTAACCCGTTGGGGGCTGTCCATACCTCCTTAGGTATTCCCAGTATTAATCCGGCCATACCTAAAGGTATTCCTTAAGAAGTGTTGGCCTCCCACCCCTCAGTTGTAAAATGGAATTCAGTATTAAGCATATATTCATACGTTGGGGTGCATACCTCTCAGAAAGTCCCAGAAGGAATGCACAAAGTAAATTTACACGCATGATGCTGGCAATCCTCTTTCTGCTGCTAAAACGACATCTAGAAGACGAGCAAATCGCTGTAACAACCTCCAGTACATTATCCCTGATAATCCAGACTACAATGAGCCGTTCGATAAGTGACGCGTGTCGCTGTATGCGATGTAGAGTAAGCCCGAGGAATATATGATGCTGGAATGCCGCTTGCTATATAGTTTCTATGCCTTTTTGTGCTTTGCTGTGCTTACAGTACTATGTGCTGCTGGCTGACTGTGTTAAGTTAACCCCTTGGTTCCCCGAATTTATGACAGCTAACGCATAAGTCACGGTACTATTATGGCGTAACTTACGACCTACGTAGTTACTTTGGTGGTTCTGTATGATGTACATAGACGTCTGCAAAACGCAATATTAAATCTTAGCAGATTTTCTCAGCAATGTTGTAAGGTATACATCTTTCTTGTGTTCATCACTGGCTCAATGTCGTAACTGACACCGATGACTGATAGAAGGGGCGCGAGAGCCGGCACCTAGAAGGAAAAAGATGCAGCAACACGCGCATCAAATCTGCGAAAACCGCATTACAATCCAAAAGCTACCACAAGTCAAATCTGACACCTGGTATCTCATCACTTCTCTTGTGCGCAGACTGGTCTTACTAGGTTTTGTCATTATCATTTCCGGACCCCTCGTCGTCTGCTTCCCCGTTGTGAAGCTGCAATTATCGGCGAGCCTTCTTCCGCAGTCCAGATTTCTTCCTGGGACACCGCAGCACAGATCTTTTCCCCAAGGTGGAAGGGATCGCCTGACCGCAGTCAAAATCGTCATGCCAGATTGCAAAGCAAGTTTTTGCTTACCCCTGTAGGTATGCCGGATCTTATTACAAAGCCAGCCTTTAACGCTGTCCCGCGAGCAGCGCTCACAAAAGAAGGTCGTTGCGTCAGATTCTTCTTTTCGTCGGTCCTGAGTAATGCGCAGACTTTACAGGATCTCTGGCGTCGCTTTTGCACACCGCTGACAGTCACCCAATCTTACGACTGTTCCGCTTCATGGGTAAGCCGCACTGAAGCACGTTGGCGCTTTTGGCGTAGCAGTAAAAGAGTATCCACGACACCATCAAAGGTGTCAGCCTTTAGCTGGACAGCTGACTCTGGAGGGTGCAATAACAGTCTCCGCTCTTCGTCGCCGTGGTCCCCGTAATTCGTGCCGGATCCTTATATGAAATGTATGCGTTCACCAACGCTAGATCGACGAGCCCCAAGAGCAAACTCATGTGGTGTTTCTTAAATTTGGTCGACGTCTGCAACAAGAGCTTCTGGAGGCGGAGTTGATCGTGTACATCAACTCCTCCCACCCAGCGCTGATAATCCGTCACAGCTGCAGGACATGGCACCGTAAGTGGTCTCACGCGCTTCACATTGCTTTTAATTGACGAAGCCGACATCACAGAGCCCGTGCACAGGTAATGAACGGGTTTGCTGTCCCACCACTGGTACGCCACCATACTTGGCACAGCAATAGAACGGGAGGATGTGAACGCCCCGCGAGGGATGCTCTCCGGACGTGTCTTCCGAGTTGCTGTGACATTCTTGTCAAAGCCAAGTCCGTCCGTCGGTATAGTGCCCAACACGTAAGCACTCGTACCAAGAAGCTCCATCGCAAGAAGGACTGAAGAGTAGAATCGATCAGTCACGACTAAGTGCCACGGATGGTGACGATTTTCGTGAAGCACGCTCTTCAGGCTACGAACGACTGCCGCAGCACCTGTCTTATAGTCGAATAAAGAGTCGCCAGTGTCTCTAGCATTTCGTGCTCCAGCGTACATTTCGAATCTAGTACGCTACGACATAGATGTTAGACAGGAGCTCAAACGTCTTAAGCTACGACATAAGTTGAAAATACAGAACTTGTGGCAATATGCTGTTATAGCATCACAAGTCATAAATATTGTTCGTATCATACCGGTGAGGTTTGTCTTGCATACCCATCCGGATTAAATAGCGCTTGGAAGTGAATGAAAGAACGCCTTCATCGAACGAGAACACTGTCGAACCATCCAGCTATAAACCGGTCCTGGAGCTTGGTGACAGCGGACCGAAATCTCCACAGCTTGTCTTGCACGATCACCTTCATTGCCACAAAGTGAAGGTCTCGTAATATGTCTTGGAAGCGGTTGCGACCCATGAGCCGGTCGAACACTCCAGTAAGAGCTGCCCCGTCCTCCATCATCGACCAGTGTGCCGCAAAGCGGTGGTTCTATGGGCATAACATCCGCGCGATGAGGAGTCCTAGAGCCTGGAGGATCTCGTGAGTCTGGTACGCTGGTTTTGCTTTCAGACGCCGGCGGATTTGTGTGAGGGCTTCTCGCTTAGGTTCCAGCTGCTTAGAGGGTTTTGCTTGTGCCCGCTTCTTGATCTATTGCATACCGTACCGTTTCGTTTTAACGTTTATCATCATCACCCACAATGATTTTGGCATGTAGTAGAACAGTGCCAGAAGCGGTGAATGACAGACGCTGCGTAGCTCAGGTACAGGCTTGCCCACTTCTGCGTTGAGAACCGGGTACGCGGGCGACGCTTCCTCAAACTCCGACGATACCGCTGCTCGTAATACATTAGCTCTTACCTCCGCGGCTTTTGTTGATATCATATTGCCCTATAAGAAGTGATTCGACGAATACCTCGTCCATCTGTGGAGCGTCAGCATCGGATACGACATAATCATCGTTTGGTGTATCCACTAAAGCGACATCTTCGTCGCCGTCGTCAACGCCATCGCTGTCGCTCAGGCCGCTTCCATAGACGCTCATATTTTCGTCCTCCGGGAGACAGTTTACGCCCGGCTTGACGTGGGAGAGTAGACAAAGCATCGGGCCGGAGGTTTCAGCACCAACATCATCTTTTCGGCATCACTATCAATGCCAGAAGCTTTCGAAAGTAAGTGAAGACTTGTTGCTGCATTTAGATGTGATTCGGTAGCTTCGAGTTCTCCCGATGATAGCTCAAACGCTAGTGGCACTGCAGCCTGCGAATTCTCGACGTCTGAATCAACCGAGCAGCCAAAGAGATCGTCAAGTGTGCTGTGACAGCTGTGCGCTTGTGTAGATCTGCGATACTCGAATATCGCTCTCCTCAACGTTTAAGCTATTGGGTATGTCGTTGTCTTCAGTCTTCTCCTCTTCATGCTCGCTATTCGCCAGCAGACCGGACTCTTTCACATGCATCACGACCGCATCTTCTCCAACAAATACCTCGGCACCATTCGGAGTCACGTACCTCCACTCCGTCTCGATGCCGCTTGGTCTCTTCGATGTCCATCCAATCGCTCGCAGCTGTCTCCACAGGTGCTTGAAGTCGATGTCCATGGCAGCAGCAGCAACGGCATCTGTCTTCCCACGCGTACTGGGCCGGGTGCACACATAGCGCAAATTCTGGAATAGCACGGAAACAGCTTCCTATCCTTATTCACGTGTCTCTTTCCCGTTCCCTCCGTCTCCCTTCCCGCCTGACATGTCCCTGATGCAATTTTGATTTACCTCTTCCATCTTATTTTTCTAGAATGACTTGAATAAAGTATGGTCTGAGCCATTTATGTTGTTGCATTTTCTACGTCTTAACTTACGACATAGCAAATCTGGTATGGCGTAAGTTTACCAGGGGTTGTACATTCTGATCTGAATTCCCTTAAATAGGAATAAAAGCGTGTCCCATCATTATAACTATAAAGGGGATTGTCTATAATATATTCTCAGTGGGAAGAGAACATATCATTCCACGACAGGTGGAAAACAAAGAGAGCTTTGTATACTCGATGGTGAGTGCTCCATTTCTTACAATACTCTTAAAAAATGCGTAAGCTAAAGCAACAAGCTGTAAGCTCTGAACTCCATGTAGCCCAAAAACGGTACTGGTAGGCATTTACGGAATTTAACAGCGATACCATCCACATCTTACCTCGTTAATAATCTAATTTTGAAAAACAATGCTGCACATTGACATCAACATTCGTTTGAGTGTCCTTCCTAGAAGTACAGTCGTGCACCTCTAATTTGGCAGGGCGGACCATATCAACAGTGCCAGGGCATAAGTGCACAACGTAAAGCAAAAAAAACGCAAGTCCAGTGCACTGATACTATTATTGTTAATTCAGTACCAAATTTACGTCAATCTTCTGCATAATCTTGTCGTCAGACGAGCGAATGGCGGGCGCGCAACAGCGCTTCCGGTCGCGATAGGCATCCGGCAAGGCGGCAACGTCCGCCGACCGCTTAAGAATACTCTGAACGGTGGTGCGCTTTACTGCTTGGGGGGTCTTAAAGCGCTCCGTTGCCCAACGAGCAATTTCGATGTGAGAGCATGCAGGATCTGACTTGTGCTTCTCTGCTTTTGTGCTAGAGCTAGGGACATGTAGGAGGAAGGGCGATGTCCCATTGTCTTTGGCGGTAAAAATCCAAATTGTGTGTTTGTATGAAGACGTCCGATCCAAAATTTAAAATCAGATCGATGCGGCGTGTCATAGCTCCGCGAGGAGGGGAAAACCGTTGAGGTTAATTGCAAGGGTGGTGATGGGCAAAGGTATTGCGCATCCGATTCGCGTAATCATAAAATCTGGCAGGGTATCGACTGATACCGGTGTAGAATTGGAGGTGCACGACTGTATGACTACATTTACTACTGTAGTACCTGACGTGCTATCTCACATACAGCGGAGGTGACCGTAGATTATGTGCTTAAGTCTAAGCAATATTCCGTCGAGGCCAACACGAACAGCGTCACACATCAGTGATGACAACGATAAATCCGTATGATGTCTGTTTACAAATTTCCTGTATTTACATGAACAAATTGAAAAATAATGGTGCGTATTGTGAGGAAAGTAGTCTTGGCACACGCATACAAATTGTATTCAACGCCATCGCTGCGGATGATTTACGCATCAACACTGCATTGTGCACTCTAGAAATTAGGAGTCCCTCCGGCGTGAATAATGTCTTCGCGCATCCGGTCGGCCGGAGCTTTGGCCTGGTTGCGTTTTCGCTGGCGGCGGACAGCCTCATCTCTAAACTTCTTCATCGCCCTAGCATCTGTTCCGGGAATCCACCTCTTTACATAGCTCGAGAGTTTTTTTATAAACCTCTCTTCTTCAATCCCGTCGTCTTTCACTGCATCCTTCTCGACGCGCAAAATCCGTCCGCCGTCTCTTTGGACACCATCGACGGTGCTGAGTGCCACACCGTTGCTGATCGTGGTGGCCTTGGGGTTCGTAGCCGCGGGGATCGCAGTGCCGCTGGCATGGAGAGTTGCCACAATAATAGCAGCGAGGATGTAGGTGACACGCATGCTTTGGTTTCGCGATAGAGCGTAGAGTAGGCGTTGTGTTGAGCTATCCAGCTTCTAGTCTGCCGAGCAAATTGTGGAATGAGCTATGAGAAATGGTTCTTTCTGGCAAAGTATATTCCTGCTTCTGTTTTTCATTTCTCGAGATTGGCACCTGCGATCGTGGTGTGATGGGAAATTACAATACAATGATGGGAAATTACAATAGGTACATGATTGTATATACACCGGTACATGTACCGGTACCTAATGGGGGCCACGATATTCAGATGCTATCGATAGCACGCGATAGAGCGACAAGTTAGTGTTTTTAAGGTGTGACATTTCCCTGGGTGAGCTTCACCAGCCATATGAGGTGGCAACACCACAACAGCGTGGGTAGTACACGTCGGCTGGGATTTGGTAATGGCTGTGCACGTTTGACCCACACAAGTTTTTACTGAGCACGCTGTAATTGCACAAAACAGTACCATCATGGCACCGTGAATTACTTAAAACACCGTCAGAATGTGTCAGCACAGAAGAGTGCTGTAGTAACACAATAAGTGGTTTCGGCTCTGCTCGCTGCAGGAAGCGCGCAGACAAGGTGAGCTTGGGTCTTCGCTGGCCTATCAGCGGTGGCCGTGCAGATATGTGGCGAATGTGGCCCACATAGGTTTAAAGCTGCTGGACGTCACTCGCAGAGCTCCTGTTCGGCGAGTGTGGCCATGCCGAAGCGTGTGCCGTGGGAGGAGAGGGCCGTCGGCATTGACGCTGCCGCGGCCGACGCTGTGATGGAGACGATGAAGGCGTTCGAGATCCAGAAGAGTCAGACGATGGCATGCAGCATGTGTATTGACGCAGAGCACAAGATGCGTTACCGCCTACTTACATGCAGCTCCGGCCTTTGCTGCGAAGCTAGTGAGTTAGACTGCGAGTGGCGAGGAAAGATCGTTACGTGCCTGGAGACAGCGCACGTATCTATTTTCGAGTATGGAGCTCACAACACCCGTGTATCCTCTCCAAAGAGCAAGAAGCTCACTACTACGCAGAAGATCTACTGCCGCGAGCTCGCTGATGAGCACCTCCGACCTATGCGTATTCGCCACGCTCTAGCTCGAAAGTTCTCGACGCCTCTTGAGGATCTCCCTCCCTTAAAGACTGTCCATAACTTTGTGAATAATTACTCGCGAACTTACCTTGAAAATCACGACCGAGTACAGGAGATCAGGGCCTGGGTCCACGCGCGTGCGTACACCGGCTTGGAGACAATGACGCAAACGTTCACGTTTGGATGGGAGCTAGACAGCAGTGGCAAACCGATTGTGGGCAATGGGTTCGACGAGAAACCCTTCATTGTGGGTCTATCAACGAAGGCGTTAATGCTGCGACTTACTGTGCCCCCACAGAACTTCATCTTACACGTTGACGGGACGTATAAGATGAATCAGTGTGACTATCCAGTTATAGTGGTGGGGATATCTGACAGGTCGCGCAGATTTCACCTAGTTGCTCTATTTGTGGTCTCACAGGAGACTCAGTCTGTATTTGAAGCTGTATTCTTTTCGTTGCGACGAATCTACTTCTGGATCACCAAGAACGACCTACGCATTCAGTACGCGATGGCAGACGGCGATAAGGCACAGTGCAACGCCCTTGCGTTGGTGTTTGGAGGCAATCCGTCTTACCGCTTCCTAATGTGCTTCTTCCATGTAATGAAGAAGGTTCAAGAGCGTATTCGGAGCTTTTCCTCCGGTGTGGCAGCCACCGTACTTCGGGAGGTATATGACCTGCATTTTGCACGCAGTGAAGCCGCCTATTTAGAGATGCTGCGTGTCATTATGACGCGGTGGCTGAAGGAACCTGCGTTGGTCCAATTTGCTCAGTACATGCATGGACAATGGTTGACTGGTCTCTTCACTACGTGGCAGATATTCGCCACACCCAGTGGCTTCGCAACGACTAATAATCCAGCCGAAACGTTTAACGCGTTGATAAAGCGGGACTATACGCTACGTCGCCGCTTAAAAATGGGCACTTTACTACGAGAGTTGAGCGCCTGTTGCCAAGATCAATCGTCCAGTACGAAGGCATTCGAGTTTGGCGTGGTTCCGACACCAACCCTCGCGCGTCGGGTATCGGAGTTGGTACGAGCACAGCTCCTAGGGATAGCAGAAGGACAAGAAGTGGATGCAGTGAGTGGAGGAGTAGCTGGAGAGCCCAATATCATTCGTGTTATATCGCTACCTGCCCCTCGTGTCACGGTGGCGCCTAATAAACGGACGGAGGAAGGTATAGCTGTTTCCGCGCAGATGGGGGTCAATTACGCCCGCAAAGAGGTCGAAGGACAGCCGTTTGGTGGTTGGCACGTGGATGCCGAGCGACAGTGGTGTCAATGCGACTACTGCTACGCATTTGGTACGTGCATTCACGTCCTGTACGCCCTGCGAGCTACTACACACGTTGACAGCAGTGGGCGCGACATTTTAGTCAACAGGAAGAAGCGGAGACGTTATGGAGTGGCGGTCCTGCCGGTTGTAGGCCGTCCGCGCACAATCGGACCTGCACTTAGCTTTGAATGACTTACACGACGTTTGCTCAAGCGTCGTGTGTGGCCCCGACGCACTTAAACACTTTATACAGCATCTTACATCTTCAGCAGACATAGTAAGTGTCCTGTAAGCGAAAGCGGTACAGTTTGCATGACTCCAGAATTTGTATTCTTTCCTTTTACATGCTAAAACTGTGTTTACTTCCTGCTAGCATTATGTACTTCGAGATACACCTGAGGGTATGCACCACAACCGCAAGCTAGTCATCTCCATCGTCGTCTTTGGTTTTCTCCCAACATTCATCACACGCACACTTAAACCACCTCTCATTCCCGTAGTGTACGGTAATTTCTGCACCAGCTTTGACGTCGCGAATCATCTTTACAAGCACCTTGACGCTGGGACGGTTGGACTGCTCTACGAAGGCGGCGTTGGGGTCACAGGAATGACTTATGAAACGGGTGATAGAGCCGCACTTGAGCGCATCTACGTAAACGTAGTTTCGTTTCGTAGACTTCGCATTGTACAGCAGTGTGTAGCCGCTGTTTTGCTTGGTGGCTTGATCCGGCTGCCCCTCGACAATTGCTGGAAACTCACTTAATTCCCCACAATACTCGCCAACAACGTCACCGATATCCAGCCAGGTCGTCGTGAAGACGCCTAAACCAACTCGTCCAGTATCGAAAAGTTTTAATGTATCGAGCGTGCGTGGAGCATTGCTGCACATCGCACCGAGGCTGCAGCAATCAGGAGTGCAAAACGTAGCACTGAAAACGTTCTTACAACCGTCGAGGAAACAATCAATGACGCACTCGCACTTATCAAACTTTCCGATGTCTGGAAAGAGAACGCCATTGCTTTTGCAGCTCGTTAGGTGCTCAACGTCATCTGGCCACTCCAATCCTTGGTGCTGCAGCGACGTCGCTTCCTCCTCCTGGGACGGAGTCTCCGGCAATGAATTGCGTCGATCACGAAGGTTCTGTAGGCGACGTTTTACCTCTGGTGAACTCAGAATGTCTTTCATACGACTCGCCTTCAACGTCCTGGCATGATAGACGTTCATGCCACTACTAGTAACCGCACACTTCTTCTGATTACAGCGCTTCCTCGACCTTGGCACATGCCACTCAGCACGTCTCTTCTTTGGCTGGTGGCGAATCTTGGCTCGTACATACCGGGTTGGGATCGCCTTCACGTACGCAGCAGCCTGATCCTCCGTAGATACAGCAACCCCACGCTCGTCATCTTCTTCGGACGAAACTAAATTGATAATCTCCAAAATAGACGGTCTTCTGCCTTCTTCCTCTCTTGTATTCTCCTTCACGTCATGACTAGCAATTGCTCCAGACGTTAGCGCCTCCATCGCATCAGATTTGGAGCTGCTAAGTGCGGTCCCAGGCTGAATGTGTGTGTTTGGACTATCGAAGTCCGATTGAGGGCTCTCAGGGACAATATCCTCACGCATATCTCGTAGTGCCTGATGAACGGCTGCTACTGCATCACCCACAACACTCTGAAGCGCTCGTTTTAGTACGCTAGAGCGTGAAGGGGCCGGCACAGATCCACCTTCGAGCTGGTAGGTCCGGAGTTTGCGCCACTGCGACTCGGACAGCGGAACCGGGGCGCCCGAGGCGTCCGACAGCCTCTTCGTCATCATATCCAACGGTATGGGCTCTTCCGTGTCGACGGAGATCGGAAAATCGACGTCAGGAGTGGTGTCCACTCTGGTGACGACTGCAATGCGCTGACCTCTAGGGTCTCCACAGACAAAGGCTCGGGTGTAATACTCAAGTGTCTCGCCGGCTCTGAGGGTCTGGGGTAGTAGATCCGACGCGCTCAGCCCCACCATCGACAACGTCCCGCTGCTGGAGGCGCTGGTAGCTCGTTGGTTGTGGTCGCTGCTGCTGGGACCTGCGGGAAGATACGATAATGAGTGTAAGACCACACAAAACAGCAATGACACGCTACATTCATCGCACCTTCATGTGACCTGCTTTCGCTGGCTTGTCAAACCTACCCCACTGTACAGACCGAGAGCCGCCTACTGCAAATCTTAAAGCTGGCCTGTCCGCGTTTATTGTGGGGGATGGGCTATTGTGTTACTCAGATTTCTACTTGTGAAAACTATATTTTCTCGTTTTTACTGAATTAATTTATTTTGGCGATCTGGAGATCGATCGATCTCCAGATCGATCGATCTCCTCAGGAGGAGGAGGGTTGATAATGTATATACTATGTACATGTTTTAATAACTCGCGATGGTTTTATCAGAGTTGCTACTCCGTAGGCAGTTGCTGGTGCTGGTGCCTCAGTTTTTTTAGTCCAAAACGGGGGCTGATTTCGGCTCTAACACAATTGGCATTTCCAAACGACTTGTATTACCTATTCATAACTCGCAGGCGTGTGCCAGAGACATCCGACACATTATATTTAATGTTAAATATAGCTGGCGGAGGCGGCTTTGGTATCTTATTTCGTCCCGATTAGTCGGGCACTCCATGAGATTCACGAATCGAAAACCTTTTTATTGTGAGGTTATCCCTCCTCGCGTGGTCCACACCGACTATTATTATTAAAGTCGGCTTTATAAAATAGTCCGTCCTTCGTGACGTTGTACCTAAAGGTACAGTCGGATTTTACCGTGAGAATCGCAATTGTTTGAGGCACTGCTGTAAGTTAAAGAGAAATGTGTTTTCTGTTCGTACCGTAGCAGAGAGGTATTGGTTTTATAGTCCAAAACGTGTTTAAATTGTTCAAAAGCAGAACTTTATTTAACCAGAGGGTGGGCAAAATCCGTCCATGATAGAATCTACATCTTACACAAAATGCTGGCAAATCAAAGGATATAGAACAGTTTTCGTCCAATTGAAAGGCCAAATGTGGGTCACATTGAAATGATTTTAATTGATAGTGGACTATTATACGGACCCATGTGGTAGACACTGGTCGATAGTTGCCGAATAACAGGATGGCATATTACCAGGTTTTTGCCCATTTTCCCAGCGAATCCCACTGGGAATGGAGTGGGAAATGAGTGGGGATTGAGCTTTTTTGTACTGGTACCTTGGCAGTAATCGTATAGATGCTGCGAAGTACATGTAGTGGTGCTTTATCTTGGTTAAAGTAAGCAGGCTATCGGTACCAAATCGGTGAATACCGATTTCCTGTGAAAGACCACCAGTTGGCCCAGTACATGTAATTCCGTACGTGTATTATACCGGTAGCAGGAAATTGGGGGGGGGGCAGACGAGACTGGGGACAAATTCGAAAAGCCGACCCCGCTGTAAGAATGCTCTTTGAAAGGGAGTACCGGTAGACTTGGTCCATTGTATTCAACGCCATCGTTGCGGATGATTTTACGCATCAACACTGCATTGTGCACTCTAGAAATTAGGAACCCCTCCGGCGTGAATAATGACTTCGCGCCTCCGGTCGGCCCGAGCTTTGGCCTGGTTGCGTTTTCGCTGGAGGCGGACAGCCTCATCTTTAAACTTCTTCATCGCCCTAGCATCTGCTCCGGCAATCCACCTCTTTGCATAGCTCGAGAGTTTTTTTTAAATCACTCTTCAATCACGGCGTCTTTCACTACATCCTTCTCGACCGAACAAATTGCGGAATGAGTTATGCTTGGTCGTTGTCATCTCTGATACTTAAGCCCTTATCTGAGCGCGATGTTGTTCGTGTGTTGATCTCTTGTCCGAACGTTGCTCAAGCGTAGCACGAAGATAACGTATCTCTCTGCTGGAACGTGTCCAAATTTGGACAGTTTGTCCCAAATTAGAGCTTAGATTTATTTTACTGAAATGCCACACAGCTCACTCTAATTAGCATACCACGACTAATTATGGTGCTGAGGTTGGAGCGTTACTTTTATAAATCTGCTCGTTCATATTACCAAGAATACTACAAGTAGAATAAACAGAGATCTTTCCAAAACCGGTGTTATCTCGTACAAGATTACGGAATTTCCGACACTAACGAAGCTGAAGCAGCTATTCCTTTTAATGAGGATAGCGTATTAGATTGTGCTTTGCATCGTAACACGATTCGTTCAAAGAATGGATTATATAATGTTTCCGACAAGCAAGGGCAGAGTCTACATGTCCTGTACAAATCCTAACGCATCTCACTCATGCGTTGAATGATTACCTCTTCAAGAGTAGCCCCCCCCTTGCTCCTCCGAGTGAAGGCGCTGGAGCATTTGTCGGCCCAGCCGTCTACTTCTGGAGTTGGCAAGATAAAATACTCCGCCAGAATACGGTCAATCTTCCTATGGAGGGAGAATCCTCGAAAAACCGCCTTCACGGTATCCACAGTCGAAAGCTGGTTGTCTAACTGGTTGATCCACGATTCGGCAGAGACCAGGATGGAGTTCAAGCTACCCTTAGCGTTGACGTTACGGCACGTATTGTCAATGAGCTCCATGCGCTTAATCAGTAGCTGATAAACGAAGCATGGCAGACTGTAGTCCACGCTACTACTGCGGCAAAGTAGAGCTTGCTTTAGACTTTGTATCATTTCACAGTCAAGCTCCTTGGATATGTGTTCGATGACAACTCCATCTGGAAACTGTGCAAGTAGTTCAGTCTCTGCACAACGACAAGCAAGTGCATTCTTTCGTTCGGGTCAAACTTGCACATGCTCTCCACCAGTTGCCAATGATCGTCAGAGAATTCAAGCGGGCGCCGAGGTAACTCGCCACTTCTCACACGATGCTTCACTACCGTATTATCAAGTTGGTTACCCCACGGTAGTTTCCCACTCACAGCTTGAACAATGCACATCCCAAAGGAAAACACGTCCGAGGCGTATAATAGGACGCTTGCTCTCCGGCCAAACACTCTGGAGCTACCCAGCGGACGGCGCCTGATCGCTCGCCTTGATCTTCAGCGCTTTCAGGTGCACTCAAGCCAAAATCTGTCAGTTTTGCATCGCCATCGAAGTTTACGAGGATGTTGTCACACTTCAAGTCTCTGTGAACGATACCACGCGCGTGTAAATACTCCAGGCCTAGAGCTGCTTCGCACAGCTTTTGCCATACCTCGGAGGGGTGGGCGTGTAAAAACTTGTCTAGCGACCCGTTCTTCGCTTCTTCGCAGACAAAAAACGGTGCTCCAATGTGGCAACCACCAAAGAGCTTCACCACGTGAGGGTGATTCCGCCCAAACCATAATTCAATTTCACGCTGGAACATTAACTTTTGGTCATGTCTGCCCTCCATAACGACTCGCTTCACAATAACATCCGAGTTGAGCCATTTAGCTCTTGACACCTCACCGAATCCACCGCGAGCAAACATGACCTCATCCTCCAGTTCATACCACTTAATAAACCACTCAGGAAGTGATTCAATGGTGGATCCATGATGTGTCGAGCAAGCCTTGTTGTACGCTTTTTGGATAATCAGGTGCTGCGCCTCCGAGTAGCTTGTATTCTGGAGCTCTCGGTGTAGTAATGCCAACATATCGTCGTCAGACTCAGTTGGGTGAAGCAGTGTAAGCGTGTTGCCGATCTCGGATACGAATAGATCGGCCCTCTGTTTGCGAAGGTTCGACCAACGTTTCTCTATTTCACAATACAAATCTGCAGGAGCGTCGACCAAACTCATTAAACATTCCATCTGCTTCCGAAAGAAATCGACCGAAAGATCGCTCGCGCAACTTGATGAAAGACGTTGAATGGAGTTGTTGTACGAGTTTTGCTGCTCAATCGCTCCTTGAATGGTTTCAAGCACAAAGATGGCTTCTTCGTAGGTGAGCAGTGATCGGGTTGCTCGAGCTGAATAAACGCTGACACACAGTTTCGAGGTCAACATATAGTTCACGGTACAGAGCATCCGGGGATGCGTTCACGGATACTTGCACATCTTGCAGCTTTGAGAGAATTCCGCTAGCAGAAACAACCTCGTTTTGATTGTCTTCACCTTGGTTTGCCAGCTCCAGCAGACTTCTCATTCGCAAAACGACAGCCGAAATGTTGCATCGTTGCAGAGGTTCATCACACCGCATGTCCTGCACTAGATTACCACACTTTGCGCGCAATTCGTCAAATTCTGCGTGGCCCCTGAGTTTCAATGATACTGCGTGCAAGCAGTTCCGAAGAAACAGTACGTCTGAAGCAAATGCCTTCTCTACAAGCGTCGATGGCCCTGAAGAACCCCCTGTGCTTCATTGAAACGCTCGACTTGACGAAAAGTTGGCAAGCTTCGCGCTGCCATCCTTACTTATCAAAATATTTCCTAGTCGGACGTCAGTGTGCACAATGCGACGCTCATGCAAATATTGCAGACCCAGAGCTGCTCCATGCACGTACCGAAAAGCTGTGGCTACGTTCGGCATATTCCAATCCGCCTGACAAGTGACCATCTCCACATATTCTTCTAACGATCCATTAGCCATGTGCTCACACACGAAGAGCTTGTAGCCCTCACGCACCGCACCATACAACTTTTGAACGTTTGGATGCCGAAGCCCGAACCAACGATTAACTTGATCATCAAATGCATCGCCGGCACCGAGGACAGACACGTACAGCTTGATAGCCACTTCTGCATCCAGCCAAGTTCCAAGAAAATCACCCCCAATATCACTTGTCGATACAAAGTCCCCGAATTCAATTTCTGTGGGTGGAATTGACCACTTCGTCGATGTTGTAGGGGTGTGGGACTCCAGGGAGCGGAGTTGAGTGTGAGTTAGTGTGGAAACAAGCAGCTCTTGGACTTGTCGGTGGCCATGTGACTTCGCATAGTCCAGTGCCGTGTGTTTGTATTTGTCGGCAAAGCTGGAGTCAGCGCCGAGGGTCAACAGAAGCTTCACTGTTTCCAAATCGCCATTGGACGCTGCTATCATGAGCGGCGTCTTACCGCGCGTATCTTGAGCGTGTACGTTCGCTCCGTAGTCAACCAGTAGCTGGACAACACTCGAATCATCGTTTCCCACTAAGCAAAGATGCATTAAAGGCGTCGCTCCTTCGTGGTCTCTTGCGTTCACGTCGGCGCCGCAAGAAGAATCCTCATGGTGTCTGCGCTGGGGCCGCCGGATTCGCACACATGAATTAGTGGCGTCCATCCTTGATGATCACTAGCGTGCACGTCCGCTCCATGATCAAGCAAAAGGTCCATGGTGTCTTCGTCGGCGTTATCCGAACGACATATACACATTAGTGGCGAGTTTCCGATGTCCGTCTTGATATTTAGGTCCGCGCCAATCTGTAAAAACCACGCTGCCAGTCGCAAGTGGTTGTTCTTAACAGCAAACCACAACGGGGTTCCTCCATAGTCCTCTGGTTCATTCACGACCTCGCTTCCATGTTGTACCAGGAGCTTCGCGATTCTCAGTCGCCCTTCAGAAGCAGCGAATCTCAAGGCGGTCGAGCCTCCCACATCTTTGGCGTCTACCTGTGCACCGTGTTCCAGCAGGAACTTAACCACATTATTATGGCCGTACCAACTTGACAGGATGAGAGGCGTCCAGCCGCTGTTCTCGCTTTGGTTTACCTTTGCACCACCGACCTCGACAAGGAGCTTGGTGATCTCAAGATGCCCTTCACTTGCTGCGAATCTCAAAGCCGTCGATCCTCCCGAGTCTTTGGCGTCTACCTGTACTCCGTGCTCCAACAAGAACTTGACAACGTCGAAGTGGCCGTGCCAACTGGCCAGTATTAGAGGCGTCCAGCCGCCACCGTTGCTTTTGTTCATGTTGGCCCTGCCCATCCCAACGAGGAGCTTGACAACCTCGAGATGCCCTTCACTTGCGGCCACGACCAGAGCGGTAGAGCCTTCTGCGTCTTTAACATCTACCTGTGCTCCGTGTTCCAGCAGGAACTTAACCACATTGCAATGGCTGCTTTTACTGGCAAGTATGAGGAGCGTCCAGCCGCTGTTCTCGCTTTGGTTTATCCTTGCACCACCGACCTCGACAAGGAACTTGGCGATCTCAAGATGCCCTTCACTTGCTGCGAATCTCAACGCCGTGGATCCTCCCGAGTCTTTGGCGTCAACCTGCGCTCCATACCCCAGCAGGAGCTTAACCACATCGTAATGGCCATTCCAGCTCGAAAGAATGAGTGGCGTCCAGCCTCTGTCTTCGCTTTGGTCTACCTTTGCACCACCGACCGCAACGAGGAGCTTGGCGATCTCAAGATGCCCTTCGCTTGCTGCGAATCTCAAGGCCGTCGATCCTCCCGAATCTTTGGCGTCAACGTGCGCTCCGTGAGCCAGTAGAACCCTGACCACATCATAATGGCCGCTCCAACACGCTAGTATCAGTGGCGTCCAGCCGCTGTTCTCGCTTTGATTCACCCTTGCGCCACCGACCTCGACAAGGACCTTGGTAATCTCGAGGTGCCCTTCACTTGCTGCGAATCTCAAAGCAGACGAGCCACCTGAGTCTTTCACGTCGACCTCTGCCCCATGTTTTCACAAGAACTTGACCACATCATAATGTCCGCACCAACTGGCTAGTATGAGGGGCGTCCTGCCACGATCGTCACTTTGGTTCACTCCCACGCTGCCAAACTCAACGAGGAGCTTGGCAATCTCAAGGTTCCCTTCACTTGCAGCGAGCGTTAATGCAGTCGAGCCATATACATTCCGTACGTTGACATCTGCGCCGTGCTCCAACAAATACCTGACTACAGATACGCAGCGTCCCCAGCTGGCGGCGAGCAGAGGAGTTCTTCCGCGCACGTCTGCAACATTGACGTCCGCCCCGCGCTCTGTGAGCACCTGCAGGATATCTAATTGCCCTGTATAAGCAGCGAACTGTACTGCAGTAGTGCCATCTTTGTCCGGTACGTTTACTGCAGCCCCATGCTCGAGGAGATACCGGACCACGTCAAGGTGTCTTTCTAAGCTTGCTTCAATCAGCGGCGTCCACCCCACAATGGCGTCACCAGCGTCTACATCAACACTCTCGTCGCCCTCGATCAGTTGCTGTACCGCGTCCAGGTCGCCGCATCTACATGCCGCACGCAGACTTTCCTCTGCCATAGTGCGCAGTTTGTCGAATGCGGGTTGAAGCCAAAGACTTTGAAGTGATATGCAGTCAGTTGAAGTGGTTTTTACGAAGCATAAACAAGCAACCTTCAAGAATGATGGTCGTTGATGTACAAAACACAACATAATTTGACCGGAAGAACGCATGGCCAGCGACTCAAGGCTTGGGATCATGGAGGCCTCTAGGGCAGACAACATGCATACGGAGCTCTCGGCGGACGACGCGGTATCGCAACCGACTTATCGAGGGCGCGCGAAGGCTTCAGCCAACGCGCATGCAGCGGAAACTAGGGAGCTAGAGGAAAGGAAGAGACAAGCACCTCGCCACCCGACGGCGCAGCGAGTGCGCACGGTCCGGTTAACGACGCAGGTACATCCCGATATGCTGATACCGTATCTGTACGGCGAGCGCGGCGGTCGCAGTATCAACGCGATAGTCAATGCCACAGGCTGCACTATTGACTACTGCGCGCTGTCTCCTGACGAGCCCGAGCGGTCGCCACAAAGTCACGGCTATGTGATGAACTTCCTTGTGTCTGCGGGGTCCAACGACACGCTGGAGGACGCTACGAGACAATTGAGGACGCTGGTATATAACGTGCAGACCCATTTACAGACGAAGGCGAGGAGTAGGCCGAGAGCGCGAGAAGAGATGGAGTATTATGAGGAGGAGGACACTTCTAGAGGACGGCGGGGAAGGATGTCGCCCAGGATATCAGGTGCTGACGTTACTGAAGCTGCGATGGCATCGAAGAGAGATGCCATACCAGATGAAAGGTGGGCGAATGGAAGCGCTGGGATGGAGCCAGAATCAGGGTGGGATATGGCTCCGATGCAGAGAGTGTACTATGCCCCGAGAGCTCGTCGAGAGCGTCCGAGATACATTGAGGTTACGGACATCGAAAAGAGCGAGTTTGTGCTACCAGGGAGACGCCCTGCTGCAGATTCAGTAGTACCTGAGGCTTCGTATGGTCAGCGAAGACAGTCGCCAAGTCACTTCGTGCGTCGTAGAGTACGACGGTATCCGGACCAGTCGCGATGGATGCCAAGAAGTTATCCTGCTCAAATGCGGGATGCAGGGTATGCGATGTATGCAGCTGCATCACCGCAAGGCGGGAACGAACAGACCCAGCGGATTCCTCGCAACCGACAGCCGCGACATATTTATCAAGGAGCTCCGAATAACTTTGCACAGTCAGAGTACAATCTGTATGAGTACGACGACCAACGTGTTGGACATGAAGTCGAGTATCCGGATGAGGCAGTTGATCTAACAAGCGAGAACGCAGGTGCCCATGGATCTTTGGAATTTGTTGACGTTCCAGATCGGCATCAACAGGTGCATCGAACGCACCCTCGACGAAGCCTGAAGCGTCCACTTAGCAAACTACGAAACGATGGACCCCCACCGCCACCTATTTACCGGCAACGAATGCCATACATTTATGACTGTACGTACGATGACGAAGAAGACGAATGGATGACTGAAGATGAAGAAATGGCTGTGGCTTACGGCTATCCTCCGCAGTTTCGCCCTATGGAGATCCCTGTTGTACGTCGACGACGACGATTTGATAGTGTAAGTTCTCAACAGTGGAGCCCTGCTGCCCGTGGACACCCACAGATGTACAAGCGGCGTCGAATCCCTCAAAACGATGCTTCCCTTGAGAATGGTATGAATAATGAAGCAGGCTTCGAAGCATCTGGTCGCGAGCGTGTTGTTCTTCCTATTTCTCGTTCAAGAACGTCGCTTATGGGCCAACTCGACGAAGCTGCAGAGAATACAAGAGCGGAGGCGTATCTTGGAGAAGCGAATAGAGTGGAAATCCCGACAGAAGACGGGTCTACTGCGTCAAATGCGAGTGATACTAGTGCTGGCAATGCTGTTGTGGACGGGGAGAAACATGAGACTCCTGCTGATGAAAACGTTGCTACGGAAAACGCTGGCGACGTACTGATTCTTTCCACCAGCCAGAAACCAGGTAGCTTGGTACAAGACCCGACGTTAGACCAGAGAATCACACACTGTAGCGACGATGTGGCTCAGTCTGCTAATGAAAAGACTTCCGAAGACGAGCAGCTTATACCTGCTGCACCCAGCACACCAAGCGAAGTGATGCCGTTGTCTCCGGCTGTAGATACGACTGCTGTTGCGTCTCCTCAGAGCTCTGTTGCTGCTTCGAGTTCTATGACAAGGTATTGCTTACTCTGGTATTATCTTTTGCTACTGCCGTTTGGTTCTGACGCTGCCTTTGGCTTCTCTATCGTTACTAGGAAAGCTCCAGAAAGCCGTGTTACTAGCCCTCCGTCTACTGCTACAACAAATGTCAGCAATAGTGTTCCCTGTGAGTCGGAGGAGAGTGCGATAGATATTGCTGCCGAAAGGAGAGAGTGCGCACACGTAGAAGCTGATCAGGAACGTGACCAGGAGCATCTGCTTCCTGCCCAGGCGTCGATAGCTCTCATTGCAGGTGCGCAGCAAAGTCTCTACGAATCGCAGGACACTCAACCCACGGCTGGGGTCGCTTCTCCTGTCGAGCTAGTCGTCAGTGACGCGATTCGGATTAACAAGCAGGTCATAGCCTCGTTGGAGCGAGTGAACAAGGTGGAAGTGCATTTCGCGGAGGCCAAAGCGTCGATGTCAGTGCAAGAAGACAAGTTCCGTCAACTGGAAAGCAGCAGCAGCAGCCACCGCAGACTGGAAGTGTTGTGCGGCGTTGTGTACGATCTTCAATGCCAACTTAGTTCTCATTCGTGTGGTATGAGCGACACTCGCAAGCAGGAGCTGCTGGGAAAACTTGATAGCTACGTGGAAACCTTGATCTCTGAAGGTGAACAGACTTTGGAGGAGCGAGTTGTCGCGTTGCAGACTGGATTGGAGAGTATTCTCACTACACACGGACTCGCACCCCCAAGGCGGGCTGTAAAAAGTAAACCAGTAGCGTCCAGACTTGAGAACACTCCAACCTCGAAGCCCGTTGACCCAAACCACGACGAGAATAATGACACAGTTGGTATGGACTGGGAGGACGACGGCTGGTTCGAGGAGAGTGCAGCTATTGACATGGTTAGCGACGAGGACCACGTGGATGACGTCTCTCTAACGAAAAGCAGCTTGGAGTTCGATGGCGAGTACCTGGCGGTGAAGCTGGAAGAAGACGCGTCTCTACGCTGGCCTCGAGAGCTGCCGCCGTTTGTTCTATCGCTCTTAGCTCGTGTGATCTCTTCGGACCCGCAATCGTACGTTATGAGGGCGACACACAAGCGACTCATGGATGAAATCGCCAAGGGTGATCCGTATTATTATTTACACCCGACGATTACAGCCAAGGAGACCGAGACGTCTTCGCCATTGCCGTCGTCGCCCTCTCCGCCGTGTGAATTTGGATGTCGAGGCGCCTCAGCCCTGAAGTGGGAACGGAAGTTGGTGTCGCAGATCAGCTCACGCATGAAGTCGTTCGACAATGTGGCGTACTCGTTGGCCCGTAGCAGCGGAGGCAAGGAGGTTCTTAACCGCAAGAAGATGAACTCAATCATCCGGAAGTTGCATCTCGTAGCGATGCAATTGCACTCACTGGTGTCTCATTTGTATTGTGTGAAGGGCCAAGCGACGTGTAAAGAGGTTGATTCGCTTCCTGTTGCGCTGAATAACTCGCACTTCGAGCGGAAGATGGGCGTGTACAAGTCCAGACTGAAGCTGGTGGTGCCGCATAAGTATCAGCAGCAGACTCAGCAACAGCAAAGCAGTGTCAGTGAACCGGCTGAAGAGCTGCTGCGAGACACGTACGAGTTCTTCCCGGAGCTGCTTCTTTGCGTGGATATCTGGGGATACAACTATCGTGAGAGTCAGGCCAAGCGACACAACAGCAAGAGTTTACTGGGAGACGAACTTGCTGGCTCGGGTGCACTCTTCCCGCTCGGTTTTTTCCGTCGAGTGGAGAGCTTAGCGTTTGACTTTGAGCACGATAGCAACGGTCTGCTGCGCTGCATTTGCGACGAGCTGCTGAACATCGTGTGTCTGTGGAACGATTTCAAGTGGACTGACAATTTGGAGACTGTGGCATTGGATCGCGTGATATCGTTCGAGACGGACGTGACGGCGAGTATTGTGAAGATCCTGGAACTCTACGCGCACCATCTACAGGCGCTCTGGGCTGTACGCTTGTTGGACGAGCCGGAGCAGCTGCAAAGCGTCCACTTGACGCAGTTGAATGCGTACTACAGTGACGGAAGTCAAGGCAGTTTGAACACGAGTGCTGCGTCTCGGTCACAGGCACCAAAGAGCCCAGGTGATGGTCATCACGACGCGAGCACTGTTGATCGGTTGGTGGCGGACGAGATAGCTGAGCAGCGTCTAGCTGAGGAGTATTGGAACCGCAAGGTCACGGCGCTCTCTGTTCACAACCCAGACGACGACGCGATGGACGTGGGCGATGGCGACACGAAGTCTGCTCAACATTTGAGTGCGGAGACGATTTCTACTTGGGACCAGCAGACTTTGGTGTCGTATTTATTGCGCTGGAGTGACGTATATGCGATCCGCAGTGACGTGAATGCGCTCTCTGCTGTGACCAACCACATGCTGAAGCACGAAGTACAGAAGTATAAGTTTGCGAGTCGCGAGAATAGCGGAAGTAAGACAGTGGTGGACTCGGCAACCAGACATCTCCTTGCCGCTGTAAGTCGTGCGCAAATGTTGATCCGGGACGCGTTGATTGGGTCCGAAAAGCTTGCGCTCCACTCTGCTTCGAGCCAGCTACCAGACGAGCGAAAGCACTCGATGTATGCTGAAGGAGATGAGGTTGACGAGGACACGAGTTCTTCCAACAAGACTGCGGAAGACACGTCCTCGAATGACGCCGCACACAGCAGCACTGTCTCGGACGCCACTCATTGTTTGAACTCTGAGCAAACGAATGCTACGAATAGCCACATGGATGAAGAGACGAACGTAGACGCATGTGTTACCCAAGAGCAACCTGAGCTGAAGGACCTGGTTCAGCTACTGGCAGTCACGAAGCAGGACATGCAGGAGCTGTGTGGCCACCGACCGCGGTCTGCTCGTATGCGCGAAAAGGTGCAGACCCAGTCGTTGCAGCTAGCACAACAGACAGTTGAGATTTTCCGCAACATCCGGAACATGTACGAGTCACAGCGTCGATGATGACAGCATAAAGTCCGTGTACTAGGCGTCCAGTGATCGAAACGGCATCATGAGCTTTGTGGGGTAGCGCTCGTCTCCTAGTGGATCCCAAGAGCTCTTGTCTCCTCCACATAGGACGTTCCCACTGGGTTCAACGCTACGATTAGTCTGACACAACGGAGACCCACCCAAAGACACAGCGTCCCAAACGTTAGTGTTGATCCACTCCGGTGTCTCTGTTAACAAAGTGAACTCCAGCGCCAAGTACGAGACGTCGAAGTTGTCGCTTCGAGCTTGAGGTGGTTCCCTCAACGGATTTTTTGACAAGGCCAAGTTGTAGAAATAAGTTGACGCTGCGTTCAGGATGGCGTTGTCGGGTATTGTCGCGATCTTGTTGTCGATAAGCGAGAGCTCACTCAAGACTGGGAGTTGCATGAGTGCAGTCGGGAACGAGTTCAGCTGCGAGTGCTCAATGTAAACAATCTCAATGCCCTTCCAGGGTTCTACAACGGAGTCTGGAATTGCTGTGAGATTGGTATGAATAAATTCCAGATCCGACAATTGTTCGGGTAGAGGAGCCTGAAGAAGTCCAGGTGGGATACCCGTCAGAATGACGTGTACGAAGAGCGTAAAGAGCATCATTGGATGCAGTTCAGCTGATACTGCAGCGTCTTCTCCCCATTCCACGAGTGTTGAGTTAAATATCTCGACGCCCATTACCGATGAGAACTCGCGGATGATCGGGGGCATCGTAAACGCTGAGCAATGCATGAATATGATCCTGCGTAACGTATCACGCCCGAACCAGCTTAATACTTCTATCGACGGACTTTGTTACGCCCTCTTTGTAACAATTGTATCTTACCACCGCGCAACTGAAATTTCTCGCAAGCCACGGATGCATACGCTGCAAGCACATGCTCTCCATAATTGCGACGTCTCCCGTTGCAGACCCGTACTGTGCTGTAAGATGCAGACCGAGTACGGTGCCTCCAGTAGCCAACAAGAGCACTGGAATGGTCGCACGATGTACTCGATAAAAAAATGCGCAGAAGTTTGAACACTCTTAGAAATCTGCATGAGTGCACGAAGCGATGCTGATGCGATGAGAGATCGTTTGATGAGTTGCCTGGCATTAGGAGCTCCCTGAACTGACGGTCCTGGTGGTGTGGGGGAGTCAGGTAGACGTGAAGAGTGCAGCATCGATGCGATCCCTTCCAGACACAAACACAAACTCAGGTGAGGTACCATCTTCATCGTGGTATTGGCCCAGGACAGGAAGAAAAAGGCTCGATTCTCTAGCACTAGGTTGGGGAAGGCTGTATCTCCATAGAGCATTGCCGGGGGGAAATTGAGCTCCATTGCATCCACGATGACAGCAGAGAAGCGTACGGATGTACGGCATTTCGTGGGGACACTTTTCAGTAGCAATTGGTGAATAATGAAAGCAGACCAGCAATTTACCACTAGCAACGCCACTTTTGCGACTTCGCGATTAGTGTGCTGTAAAGATAACCATTCGGGACTTGCGTCGCGATCTCCACAGTCTTTCGGAAGCGAACATTCGAGTATAATACTCGCTGCTACGTTGGTCTAATGTGTTTGAGTTACTGGAGCGTCCAGCTGGCTTTTAATCCCTTCGTAACATTATCCAGCGATAACCAAACCGAATAATTGTATTGACAACAAGTTTCAAGAATGTTTCAACAGCTAATCCCAAATTCAGTGGTCGAACATTTGGTTTTCGAGCATACACCGAAGATCCGAGGTGGCAGAATAACTGCAGTCCATGAATCGCCCCAAGAACACCGAGCATAGTGCCAATTTCGCGAAAGTGCCGGTCTCGTGCTGGGGCTAACAGACCTGCAAAGTAGTTGAGTTACTCATTTTCCATAAGCCGATAAAGCTGCGCACAGCAGATCAAGAAGGCCGAGCCCAGTGCGTGAAGCAACATCATGAATATCCATAGGCCGGTAAATCGACAGTGAGACAGCATATCGCTCTCTTTACCGCATGAAGCTTTGGGGGTTTGATAACTTGGAACCACTCGATTCATCGTATCAAGCTCGGTGACGTGGAGGGATGACGGCTAATGCCGCGCTTCAAGGACCCCGAGGTCTCCCATAAAAATGACGGTTTACAGAATTATATATTTCGTTGTGGGCATGCACCACAGCATAAAATTGATCCTTGCGCCACTCCCAATTTCAGAATTTAGCTTAAATCCCATGAAAGAGCTTCCAACAAAGGCCAAGACGTTGGCTGCCATATTGGACACAAATACATCAGCCACAGGGCTTCATTTCCGAGGCATCTAAAAAAAGCGAAAACAATCATGCTGACAGAGCGGCAGCGTCTCGGCTGTACACCCAATGCAAGTCAGGGCGTTCTTTACTTAGAAGACATCAAAACCAAAATTGTTAGTGTTTCATACCGGTTATTATGAGAGCCCCGCCAGCTGTAGTCAGTGATTTTCAGTTTCATTTATTGGTCCAAGCAAGAATAGCCTGGGCCTCGGCTTACTTCTACATAATAAGCATGGCTCTAGCTTAGGAAGCTTCTCTCTTCACGTGTTCAGGAGCCAAAATGAAGAGAGCAGATAGCCAAATGAATTTCTGGGGGTCGTCAACGACAAAGATGCAAGTGAAGCCAGAGGAGTGCAGCCCTACGCATCGCTCTCTTCGCTCGACGCTATTTAGTCGCGGAAAGAAATACGCCGTACAAGACGAGTCGAAACCAAATCGAACGTTTACGCTGAGGAGTTTCAATTTCCGAAGAACCAAATCAAAGGGAAAGTTTACGAAATGGCAGATGTTCCACCTAATACGTCGCCTTGTGGTGGTCGCAGCTGCTTGTCAGTATATCGAGATTTCTATGCTTGCTACCTGGCGTACGATCGAGGTCTTGCGTTCGACGGCGAGCCCCACCGAGTCTTTCGGAACTCTCACTGCGTCTTTCATTGGCGACTACGTTGGAGACGGTCGTATCCGGGACAGTCGATTAGTACAAAAAACTTTGAATGGAGATACTACACCGCGCAATTATACAATATTTCTTGAGTCGGAAACAAAGATATCTACTGAAAATTGCTCTGAGATTTTTCTCTTCAACCCTGAAATTTACAACTACCAGTTCTTGACTCACGGGTACTTGGAGATGGTGTGCGATACCAGCTACAACGCCAGCGTCCTGGCGGACCTGGAGCTGGTTGTCGTGGTGGTAGACTGCAGTTTCACAGCGCTTGTGTCCGGAGATCCCTCGGTTGTGCGGATTTTCAACTTGGTTCGGTCACGTCATGACTCGAGCGATCTGTACTTGGTCACCATCTCGTTTTCGGTGCAAGACTACGAGATTCCAGATCAAAACAAGAACGGCCCAGCTCTATTAGGCATGCTCTCAGTGGTCAATGACATGCGTGCAGACACTATAGAACAGCTTTATATGGTCGCGCCGACGTATCCATTCCAGCGATCTCTCGAATTCGAGATCTACGATTTTGTAGGTCTAACCAACGACAGCCATCTAGAGCTACGAAGTATCCCACTAGACCCTCTCTCCCAACCCGTATCTACTCTATTCACGTCTCGGAATCGAGGCTTCTACGATGGTGCAGTCCAGTCGAACACTCACTCCATGTACTCGCTGCTAGATACCGCAGATACCAAGACTATGTTGACACACTGGGACTGGTCTGGGGAGACTATTATCGCTGATTCCTGGGCGTGGGTGCACGGGATTCACCTTGTTTTCGGGATGCAGACCGTCTATTCCCTCCTTTTACTGCTCCTCGTGACGTATCAGAACATCCGCACTGGGAAAATCTGGATTGGAGCGCCATTTGCAGCAGTGTCGACTACAACTCTGGTCTCTCGTGGGTTTCTAGTGATGATCTCGTGGTATGTGAACTCGTTCTGGACTTTGTACGAGTTTGCGCTGTCGAATGCTGCAAAGTTATCCGGACATGAAATTGTCCACGTCCACAAAGAGCTCGTTCACGCTGACGTCCTCGTCGTTTACCTGGGTATTGTAGCGTTTCTAAGCTGGATTATTCGTGAACGGATTGATCCTGCTATTGCAATATTTCTGTTTGAAATCATTCACAAGCACAGACTCAGCTTCATCAAGATATCGCCGCCCATTCTAAACAAGATTATAACGTACTCGGACAGCGTCTTTCAGCTCGGTAAAGCTCAAGTGTCGTCGAGTGCTAATGACATGTCTCCGTTAGATTTCTGGTCCACGTTCCAGATTCTTAAAAAAGACGGTACTTTTCTGGCAGCGTCATTTTTCCCGAAGATCAGCTTATTAGGGCTCATCGTATGCTACGCTCTGTTACGCAAACTCTATCGACATTTCTATCCGGAACCCATTCATCAAAGCCTTTCGAGTCAAAGCAAGAACCAGTCGGCGAATGAGAAGACAGCGCTGACACTTAAAGGCACGCTAACCAACTTTGAGATCTCGACTGGTGCCGAACTTCAGACCCGCTTTGGGGTTATTTCCGACTATAAGAACCATGTCTATTTTAAAGGGATGAAGTTCGCGTCTGCAGATGGAGTGTACTGCTCCGGGTATGTTATTGTACATGGTAAATTTCTGGTAAAGTCGAAGGATCTTTTGGCCATTGCGATGATCAAACTCGTCCACGCTCGCTTCACGAATGTATACGTGTATGAGGTGGAAGGCAACACGGTCAAGGAGACAGCCAGACTTGTATACCCGGTAACTTTTGCATGGTCGGATTTGTGGCGACTCAATGTTACAGTGTTGCTGTAAGTAAAGAAAAAAAGTGTAGAATGAGATGATATCGACCGGTGTATTTGTTGCTTAGAACTAACATGTTTCATAACCTTCGCGGACCTAGCTGGGCCATGATGATCGTTAGCTTGTGACGCGACAAACTGCTTCGCCAGCGCTTCCTTCTTGGCAGTCGACGACTCGTCGGATTCATGGCTCGAAGGTGGCGAGGCAGTGTTCACTTTCTGGTCGAACTTGGCGCTGTAGCTGGAAGTCGGCCGAGCGGCGAGTGTAGACTTGGCGGTGGGAGTGGCAGGAGGAACCTTGCTGGCGTCCATAATGAGGTTTGTGTGCTGGTCCTAGGAAATTTCAAAGTGAGAGTGAACACTCGAGGGCACGTGGGAGGCGAGCCGTCCATCGACCACTCGACGCGATCCATAGTCGTTGAAAAGGATAGTTTCTTTTGCGATTGTGCTTTGCTGTACTTCGAACGAGGGATTATTATTTTGCCTAGAGTACTGATGCAAAAATAATCCTTGCCCCCCCATTCCATGCTCTACAACGAAGTCTGCGTTAGAATTTGATGGAGCTGTTTCTTGTGGGAAGGTCTGACGTTGCTGACGGGAGTAGCGATCCGGAGTCGATGCAGAGAACTTCACTTCATTTTGTCGAATGTCACGCAATGAAACTTTGCACTAGGAACCACTACGTACATTCAATCCT